GAAGAGCCTGGTGAGACGACGAAAATCTTCGACAGATTGGGGGATGATTTTAACAGCCTCCCCGAGGTTGGTGGCTTGGTCGTATTTTATTCCTGCGTCGTAGCAGGCTTTGGAGAGGCGGGTGAACTGAGTCTTGTCTCGTAAGAAGACAGGGGGCGGGACTTGCTTCTAAGTCGGGTTAGAAGCACAGCGGGAGGCTGGCTTGGGCAGTGGTGTCACGGAAACTGCAGCGGGAGCTGCGGGGACTGAGGCAGCTACGGGGGCTGCGGGGTTTGCGGGGGCGGCAGAGGCCGCCGAAACGGTGTGATTTTTCGCGGTGCGTTTACGGCACTTGGAAGACACTGTCGTGAACTCTGATTCTTCGGATCCGTCTGAGTCAGACGACTCCGTAGAACCAGAGCCCCGGAGTGTGGATTCTGAGTCGGAGTTGGAGCACTCCATGTCTACTTCGAGAGGCGCGAATGAGTTCTGGGACTCAATGTGGGCCGCTATAACGGGCGGCGGTGGGTGTGCCTGAGGGGCGGAAGCCAGAATGGCGGAGATGGCTGCGTTAAGAGCCTGCGGGTCATTATGCAACCTATGGACGGAATCGAGCACGGAACGTATCAATTCCTGCGAGAACATTTTACGTATCTACTTTAGGGGCAGGGGTCACCGTTCTCAGAAGAACGGGACGGTCTTATCAGAAACAGTAAGGGCGGGATCACCGTTCTGAAAAGAACAGGACGGTCTATATTCGAGGAGTTGTGCCCTGGTTCTCAAAAGAACAGGGCCTTGCTCTGAAAAGAGCAAGTAACTCCCTAGAAACAGTATATACACGTACACGTTATACAAATAAATGACGAAACGAAATTATAAATAGTTAACAATAAGAATTAACAATAAAAGAATAACAATAACAAGCAAGACCAACAGTCAAACCGCCCCGCCCGGAGACAGGGAGGTAATAACTGGAGTTAGCGTAAAAGGACTCACCAGGCGTCGCACTGTACAGTGCTAGCAGGGCAGCGGAGGCGCGAGAGCGAGAGAGCACTACCGTACGGGGACGGATGTGCGGACTACCTGGACACGACCGCTTGAGAGCGGTGCCACAGGCGGAATGAACGATGTCTTTTTTTTTGCCCCGACCGTACCGGCCGGCCCGTCTTTTATATGATTTGGTCGTTGCTGGCCAGCGGACCCTTGCCTCACCCCCGCGCCTTTCTTTATTGGGTTATATTTCTTACGAACTAACAAACAGAATTAAATATATAATATTCTTATAACTACTTATTATACTAATATGTACAACAATTTTTCTACATATTAAAAGGTTTAAACTTTGTTTTTTGACAACTTTAGGCTGAGGACCCTGCCCCCCGCCTCAGCACTATAAATATAAAACGTCGTGGCGCGGTGCGCGTAGCCTCATTTGCTCCGCGGCCGCGTCACGATAACATGCCCTGTTGATTATTTTACGTGCCTAAGGGTTTAATATATAAGAAAGGTAAGTTAGATATAAAAACAAATACAATTTACATTAACTAATTACGATAATTAGTTTACATTTTAAATCTATGCTAACTCTCGCTATTCATTCGGTGTCTTTATTGGGAGAGTTAGTGCATAGTTACAATACTATTCTTTTTATCATTAAATACAAAGTTATATTTTTTAACATTCTGAATAAGGCTGCGCTTGTTTTTTCCGCGTTGCTGTGTGCAACCATTGCTAGTTGTCGAACCGTGAGCGCGGCCCGACGATCGTAACACCCTCATGGCTCCGCCCACCGCCCCTAGGTTGTTCAACTAGCGTCGGTTACGACAAGCATGTTTTTCGTTCGACGTATCACTTTGTTTGCGTCGTGCACAAGTACCGTTAAATATTTTATGTCTATTCCGCACCGGATATCATCCGTTACCTTGAGGAAAGCAGTAGTTGTACTGTGACCAAACCTAAAACCGGATTGAAAAGTACTTAAGATATTGTTACGGTTAAGAAACTGGACAATATGTTCAAGCACCTTTGAAAGAAATGGTAAAATGGAAATAGGGCGGTAATGTGTTGCAGATGAAGGATTCGAAACTTTGGGTATAGGAATAATATGAGCTAACTTCCATGACGACGGAAAGCAACAAGAAGATAAAGAGAAATTAAAGATATGAGTAAGAATAGGGAGCAGAAAGAGAAGAATCAACGTAATCATTTTAGAGCAGATGTTATCATTTCCCATAGCAGGAGATGAAATTGCAAGGACGGATCGCATAGAATCATCTTCAGTAAGAGAAGTGAAATTAAATGAGGAATAATGACGTATTGGGCATTTGGATAATTCAAGTAGGGTTCTGGCTTTGGTGAATGATGAAACTATGACAGGAGAGTTGGCAAAATGTTCGTTGAGACTATCCAAGTTAATTTCACTTCCCACACTAGCAGAATATTTTCCGACACCGACAGATCTCAGAAAATTCCATGCTTTTGCAGTATCGCAACTTGTGAGGGTATCATGAAAATAGCGCCTTTTAGCATCTCTACACAAACGATTGCAGCGATTTCGTAGTATTTTAAAGCTGATTAAATTGCGTTCAAGGGGATATCGCTTATACCTTCTTTTAGCTTTATCTCTACGCGCCATCAGAGTTTTTAAACATTTTTTTAGTTTTTGTTTTTGAACATTTTTTAGTGTGTTTTAAAGCCAAAAGTCTTTAGGTACGATTTATATTAAAGGTTCCCGCAATTACTTTTATAATTTCTTAATGTACTGTTGAGATAAATGTTGGAGGCACCTAGATGAGTTATAGTTTTGCATTCAGTGGAAATTTAAACTGTCGAGTTATGTTACAATTTGATAGTTCATGCGAAATATAATTTATTTGGGGTACTTACATTTAAAAGTAAGAAATGTTTAGCGATGTACCAAAAAAATGTTTAAGTATAATGTGCTATGAATTGAAAGAATAAGTAGCCTTTTTGTGTTCTAATATTTTTTTATAGGATAAGGGTGACAAACGAGCACACAGTCTACCTGATGGTAAGTGGTTGCTGCGGCCCATAGACATCTACATCTATCCTCGTTTGCGAATCAAAATGCAGATGCGTTGTCACCCGTGAGGACTAAGATGGAATGTCTCATTTCCAGTAAAAAGGGCCTCCGGCCACCTGCACTCACCAAGCGAAACGCAGAGGTAAACCTCTACTTCACGCTGGTATTCTGTGAGGTCGTGGTACCACCCCGGTTCGAGCCGGCCCATCCGTGCGACAGCAAAAGCTGCCACGTGGCTCTACCACTGTTAAAAATGTGCTAATAAATATTACAGTTTATTCCGAATATTATGTAATCAATAAAATTGGGTTTCATGTCGATGGGTTAGTAGAAGTCGCTACGTAACTTGATGAAGAGACCTCGCACACCCCATCCACGCTGCATATAGCTTGAGGTAGCTGGATGAAGGGGCTTCGTACGCCCAGTCCACGCTGCGTATTGCTTGAGGTAGCTGGATGAAAGGGCCTAGTACGCCCAGTCCACGCTGCGTATTACTTGAGGTAGCTGGATGAAGGGGCCTCGTACGCCCAGTCCACGCTGCGTATTGCTTGAGGTAGCTGGATGAAGGGGCCTCGCACGCCCGGTCCACGCTGCGTATTGCTTGAGGTAGCTGGATGAAGAGGCCTCGCACGCCATGTCCACGCTGCGTATTGCTTGAGGTAGCTGGATGAAGGGGCTTTGCACGCCCAGTCCACGCTAAATATTGCTTGAGGTAGCTGGATGAAGGGGCCTCGCATGCCCGGTCCACGGTGCGTATTGCTTGAGGTAGCTGGATAAAGGGGCCTCGCACGCCATGTCCACGATGCGTATTGCTTGAGGTAGCGCTGGATGAAGGGGCCTCGCACGCCCAGTCCACGCTACGTATGGCCTGAGGAATCCGGATAAAGGGGCTTCATACGCCCGGTACGAGGAATATTATACGATTTCTGGGTATGTGGATGAAAAGGTTAGCGATGCCCGGCCCAAAGTTCAAATGCCATCTGATAGTTAAGAAAGGGGCCATGTACGCGCTGCTCACGCTTTGAGTATCAGACAGAGCTCAACACGCCCAGTCCACACTTTCAGCTCGTAATACTGATTGAAAGGGCCCTGTACGCTCGGATCAGTCGACTACCATCGACCTACATGAAGTCGGGGATGGTCGAGCGTTGTAATATTTAACAAGTGTCAACTTCTGTCGCAGGCGGTGATAACTGTTGGACCGTATGCTGACGGTTTACTGTCATCTAGAGCCTTGGTTACTCAGATGGTTAGCGCTCCCTGTAAGTTTCACAGTACGCGAGCAACCCGGGTTCGATCGCCGCCAGCACCAATGAAATTGTTAATTGCAATTTTAAATGCTGATTTGCCACGTGCTCGGCGATGAAGGAAAACATCGTGAGGGAACCTGCATGTGTAAGAAATATGAAAACAATATTTCGGAGACATGTTAAGTTCGCCAACACGCATTGGGGCATCGTGGCGGACATTTCCTTGCCCTAAAACCCTCTCATAAATCAGAGGAGGCCTGCGCCCAGCAGTGGGACGTATATAGGCTGAAACTTTAACTTTTTAACAAACAAGTGGTTAACTTTTTGAATGGTTGAAAGAAATGCTTTAAAGCCAAGCGTATTTCAATTGATTAATTGTTATGATTACAAAAACATTACCTTTACAGCCTATTAAATTACACTGCTGAATATTCTTTTGGACAGTTTTTTATTTTTAGTCGTTATTAGGAAGACGCTGCTGCCCATCTACTGGTTTGTTTCCCTCTGTCGCCTCTAAGACACCCACGGGATGATATGGGGTAGTGGATATTGTTATACCGCCACTACACGGTAACAAAACACTAGGTTTAAAAAAAGGGATAATATCGTTGAAATACTTGGCGTTGGTGAGTGAAATGTGTGGTGGAGTGGTTCATCACATTTTTCATCTCGTGAAAGGGCTAATAAGAGTTATAAGACTAACATACAATAAATAAAACATATAATATACATTTAATAATCTTTATTAAAAAAGCGGAAGGAAATATAACAATTATAAAAACTTATTTATTTACTCTTTAAAATGTTTACCCGTCTACGGGCTAATCCCACAAAAAATTGAAACAAGTATCATTTAATCCATTTCTTATTCCGCTTTTTGTCATTTTTAACTTAAATCAAACATGGAATAGTACAATAGATGTCAAATTGTGGTTCGGGATTTAAATTCACTTAAACTCGTAGAATCAAACAATGTGAATTATAAAAAGTAGAGATGGTCGTATATTACTAAATACATTTGAAAGGAGCAATTTCTAACATAAGATTATTTTAATGGGTTGTTTTATAATTAAAATTCAATCTTTAATATATTCAAAATTATAACGATAGCATCTGATCATGTATCTACAATTTTTTTATCTACTCTTGTAACCATTAATAATGTTTTTTATTTCATATTCATCCATTAATTTCTTGCAGCCTTAACAGAAATCCACAGCTGTACATTGGACTTCTGATTTCCCCTTAAGGGAAATTTAACCACAGTTGCAAAGCTTGGCAGGCGGATTGGCGACCGCAGTTTTATTGATATTTTCGGTTATCATGAAGATGCTGCTGTCCATCATCTCCTGTTTCAGATTCCCTCGGTCACCTCTTACGACGTCCACGAGATGAAAATGGGGTAATAGATATTATTAAGCCCCTACTACACAGCGATTTTGGAGCGAAATTCCTTATCGCACGGTACGAATTTGTAAGATTTTTCCGTCACAATCCCCTTTCTGCAGTGCGAGCGAGATGGAATAATTTCAATCTCCCTCGCATTTTTTCTTACTTTGCCATGAAAGAAATATTATTTCAAATGACGCTCCATTTTAATAGACTCCAATAATTCATTTATTTGTATTTGTTAATCAATAATATAATACATTTATCCATAATTATATACTGCGAAAGGAACTTCGTTCTAACCTCGTGTTCCACGACACTCACGCATGTTTTTTATTTTGCTACTTCCTAATAAACCTTTATTGCTTTATGTTCAAGTCCCTATAGCGCCGGCTACACCCAGCGACTTGCATGCGCAAACAACTACTGCAAAATATTTGCGCAAACAGTTTGTGCAAAGTTTTCGCAAAGAACATGTGCGGCGTCCACACGCCGTCTTAGTCAAGTAAGATTAAGCCTGGTCTTATGAAATGATCCTCCTTACCTCTACCCTAACAATTATTCATTACAGCAATCCTACCTGGAATTAGTCAATTAATTTATAAAAATGACTACATACTTGACAATCCCCGAGTTTGTATATTTTTTTCGACACTCCGATATCTTAGATTCTAATTAAAATGCTGGTGTCTCTATTACAAGGCACTTTGAATGTCATTTGTACCAACTAATATATCTTTAATAAAACGTCAAATATATGAATCATTCTGTCAAACTTATTTATTTATTTATATTACAGCTATAATTATTTTAGTTTTTAATATTGGGCTAAGTAGAATAAAAGGTTTGTACCTAAATGTGAGTTTGTTGAGAGTTAAAGTCGAGAATAGACGTTTGAGAGTGGAACATTGAGGATTGATGGCTGAAGGTTACGTTTCAACATTGGATACTTCATGTTGTGCAATACACAAGTTCTATATAGTTGTATCGAAGGTTATAAAAGTTGATAATCAAAGTTTAAGGGTGAAGAAGGGATGGAAATCCCATATGAAGAGTTGAAGGTTGAGTTTACGGCCCGTATTAATAAACGTTACTCAGCTCAAGTACACGCACTTGAGTACAATCTTGAGGTTATGATCTTATTAATAAACATATCTCAAGATGCGGTTTAGGTTTACAATATCAGCTGAGTGCCACACTGATTAATAAACGAAACTCAACTCTCAAATGTGTGTACTTGAGTGCAAGTCACAGAACAGTATTCTTAAGTACAGCGTTTTGAGATACTGTTTTTATGTGTTTATTAATTAGCAACGATCTTGAGAAGCTGGTATCGTAATGATGGCATATCAAATGATTACGCATTTGAGTTCGTCGTTGAGTAATGTTTATTAATACGGGCCTACGGCTCTTGGGGTTTGCAGTGTGCACCCTACTATTAAGTTACTGTCGCCTTGACTGCTACGTATGCAGTATTGATGGTCAAGCATAAGTAGCAGTGGGTTGGAGAATAAAAATTGGAGTAAAGAGAGTAGAAGGTCATGGGAGATGGCTGATAATGAAGGCTAATCTTATTACTAGCCCTCAGACTTAGAAAGAAACATGAATGTCTACACTTTCTGACAAATTAATTGTATAAGTGGCGAAACATTGTTGGCAGAAAAAGACAAATACTCACATTGAAGGTTAATTCAAGATGGTAGGTCAACTGTGATGGTGAGAGTGATCCCTCACTGTAGGTTAATTCGAGATGCCAGATGGTAAGTCAACTGTGGTAGTGGGTTCGATCCCTCTCTATAGGTTAATTCGAGATGCCAGATAGTAGGTGAACCGTGGTGGTGGGTGTAATTCCTCAGTGAAGGTTAATTGGAGATGGTCGGCGAGCGGCGGCAGGGAGGCCTAGGCGTGCGTGGCGCTGTCCTCGACGAAGTCGCGCGCCTCGTCGCGCGTGACGCACTCGACGTGCGACACCTTGTTGCGGAACTTGACGCCGTAGAACTTGTGCGCGTGCTCCAGCAGCTCCGGCCGGAACGTCGTCGTGATGAACTGCGCCGACGACGACAGCTCGTGGATCATGTTCGCGATCGCTTTCCTGTGCTGCGCGTCCAGAGCCTGCGAGTTGCGATCATAAGTTATAATTAGCAATTGTAAACTTGAGTTTTAGCACAATTTAAAGAGAGTCTAACAGCTGGGAAACGAATGTACATGTGCAGTACAACAGTCTGCTGTACAATACATGCGGTCAACGCAAACGTGTTTTATAGTTTTATAGTTTTAAGTGCCGTTTCCGGAAAAAATAATATCTAGAATGGTGAAGGCATTTCACAACTGTTAGCTCTTAAACTGTGTGTTTTAGTAAACAATTACGTCATATAACAGTGATAACGAACCTATAGACCCGCGGTTATAAAATTGACAATTTTTTACGTCAACTATTCATGTAAAAATTAAAATATGAAACAAAAAAGAAACAAACTATTTAAAGTATTTTTAAAGAGAGAACCAAAAAGTAGTTTAACCCTCCTCCCTTCCCCTTACCAAGTGACGCTTAAAAACAAAAACATAATAAACAAAATTTGACCTATTTAACAAAAATGTTTGCCATCACTGCCATAATTTGTATTTGCTACATTTAGAAACGTCTGAAAACTTGATCAATTTCAATTTTTAACTTTAATTAAATTTTTTAAGGAGGTACGTCCCCTGGACATTGAGAAGTGAGAACTGAGATACAATTCTTTACACACCTGATCGATTTCATCAAATAGGTAGAAGGGCGCCGGGTCGCACTTCTGTATGGCGAATATGAGCGCCAGGGCCACGAGCGACTTCTGGCCGCCGGACAACTGGTTCATCTCGCGCATGTCGCCTTCGCCTCCAGTGAACGACACTTTGATACCGACGCCCGTGAACTGGTCCGCGTTAGCCCTCTGAACAAGTTAAAATATTATATAATGTATTAAAAATATTATACAACTTCGTTAGTCAAATTATCAAGTCAAGTCGTTCGGCCAAATTTGCAGAGAATGGTAAAGAAAAATTAAAACCTTCGGTCCTTTTTATCTTTTAAATTCCGAATGCGTGGTTAATGCATTATTTTAACTGTTTGTTATTTATAAATATCTAACGCCTACTATTTTACTACGCACACACACATTCGTTAGTCGGATGTTACACGCTCAATCTGGCGTCAGTTCAGTCTGTGACCTTGATCACGTATAGACTGATGGCTGACTGATGGACTGACGGGAGGTATTAGACGGTAAGTCAGACTGACGATCAGTCCAACCGAAAACTTCTACGCGATAACACGCACGCATTAGGTGTGGATTTTAACAAGAAAAAAATCAAAGAATTCACGGCGATAGTTGGATCTTAGGGTATTAATTTTCCTTTTCACGTCTTTTACATTAGCTTGGGGATTTATATTTTCAAAATTACTAATAGTTTCTGGGGCGCCTCGTTTCTCTTTTATTTATTCACATTTTGGTTATTCCTTTTATCTCCCAAAGAAAAGGTAAAACTTCTAGTTTTCTTCTAAAGTGACGGCTCCGTGGCGCAGTGGCTTAGTAACAAGTTGCAACACTGGGGGTTGCGGGTTCGAATCCCGCACGGAACAAGTATTTGTATGACCTGCAAATAATTGTTCCTGGTCTGAATGTTTATCCTTGTACAATTTATGTTTGTAAACTGCCTCCACGGTACTGGAGAAAATCATAGTAAGGGGTAACATTTAAAAAGAAAAAAAAAGTTGTAATAAATTATTTCTCCTGGGCTAATGGTTGAGAAGGGGACGTCGGGAGTGGCGGGGGTGTCAAGCACGCGGCGACACAGCGTGCGACTCCATCGCTGTCTAAGCGGTGACTGGCGTCAGACTGATAGCTATGAAATACACGTTCAGTCTGGCATAAGTCTGATTAGACTGACAAAAATTATTAAAATATTTAAATAATCATCATTCTGGACCATCAATCCCTCAGTCTACACGTATAAAGTTAGTTTCCCGTCATTCTGACGTCAATCATGGATTGAACTGACGCCAGATTGAGCGTGTAACCTCCGTCTTAAAGTCGATCGGTCACCAAAAACGTTTGAAATTGAATCGCACACAGAGGAGCGCGTGTACGCGTAGTTGTTGACCATAAATCACATTCAATTTGGGATAATTTCAAATAAAAGTAGATTTTATACCTTATTTACTCGTATTTTCAAAATCTGCAATAACGGTATATCATTATTTATATATTTGAACTTAAGTTTAAAATTTGTATAGATTATTTATTTCATTTCATCCTCATACAGGATCATATTGCCCGAGTGGCCGCGGGCATAGGTCCACTCTCATAGTCCGATGGGATGGTAATTCGACAAGGCTGGAGCGATAGTTTGGCACAGGTCCAGCTGCTTTAGATGCTTGGGGTTGCTACTGAAAATTTTTTGACACAAAAACCCAAAACCTGATTTTGGCCCGATCCGGAATCACGTGATCAGCAATCGCTCATACGACCACTAAACCAACGAGGCAGTGATTTATTTCTAATTTTAAATACCGTTTCAAAATATTAGGTTTTTCCCTTGTATCGTGGTGACTCCACACATGAAATCCTTTCACATCACAATCCTTTACATGCACAAATTCCACAATGATAAACAACCAGACCCGCGGGTCTCAGCGCTGCAGCAGCTTATTGCTAAGCCGTTCCATACATGGTGTGCAGACAGGCTAGAAGCTGCCGCAGGCGTGGAGCCGTACCTCTGCGCTGACGTCGTTGAGTTCGTCGGCGGCCACGCGCATGATGAGGCTGCCGCGGCCCTGCGGCACCAGCTTCTTGAACACCTCCGTGAAGTTCTTGCTCACTTGCTTGAACGTGAACTGGATCGCCTCCAACTTGCGATGCTCCAAAGTTTCGATCAGTTCGCGGATCTTCTCGCCGCTATAACAAACATTATTACTCTACTAGCAGCTTATATGTCTATAGGTCCGTGGTAGAGCTATGCTGCAGCTATATTATGGTTGTAGCACTAACGGGTCGGCTCGACCGGGATTCTTCCCCGGTCGTGCTGACCCATTCGAGGGCCACGCTCTCACAGAATACCAGCGTCAAATAGCAGCTCAATGATGATGTGTTTTGTATGTAGAGAACCGGAAACCCTTTTTACTGAATACGAGGCATTCCATCTTAATCCTCAGGTGTGACATTTTCGTTTGTCATCCTCTTTCTATAAAAAAGTAAAGGTTGTCAGCTACTACTGCTACTACTAATGTTTTGGTAGTATGGTTTTGTTTAGGCCAAACAATTAACATTTGAAAATTGCATTCAACACTCGTGTTCGCCCGCTGACTTTGTAAAGGTTACCGTTTCCCCACTCCCGTGTGCGTCGCCCGGCAGAGGGCGCGGGCGCAGAACGCGAGTGCGAAGACAGTAGCTTTAATGCAGCGGTGCTGTCGCAACGTAATGTATTTGTGGTGACCGTGGCAGCGATTTCGTGCGACCAGTTTCGGTTTATAGTCTAGATTTTCAGTATTTGAGCGCGTTACTTCGCTACTTAAATTGTGTTTCGTGAAAACCGTCTCGGATTCGGTTGTCTAAATATTGCAGTGAGTCTACTCGGGCCGCGTGATCACTGTCTTAGAAGGTTGCATTCGATTCTCGAAATAATTTGTGGCTGAGTGAACGGCAGTGAACTTTGACCCACCGCTCATCAGTCGTGCCGCGTGTTACGTTTTGATTATAATTAACGGGATTTAGTTGAGTTTGAACGTCAAGTGGTTGCATGCATAAGTGCATTCTGACAATATTAATTCGCGTTAACGAGCTGCCTTGTGCCATTGTTGCTGCTGATTAAAAGGGGCTAATTTAGGTTACACATATATACACTTCTCACACACTACTTCTACTACATTCACAACAATTAACGCCTGAACGAGCCTTGTGATCCTTCTTCGCCCCTGAACAGGTACGTACTATTTATTTACCTAGCTTTATCACTGTCGTGTAGGTCAACTCTCCATAAGGCCATTTGGGCCCCGTTCTTAGTTATCCGTCGAGTCTACAGCTGTATGGGCCCCTGTATAGTCCACCTTTGCCGGGACAGCTAAGGGCGTGTACAGGTTTATTTTAGGCACAGCAAAATGATAATTTAATGGTGTTAATCTCTTTAAACTCGGGAGTGACAAACAAGCCAACGTTCCACTATTTAAGGCCTGTCATATGGACTATGCACTATGTTATCACCTCATTTCCAGTAAAAATGGTTTACAGTTCTAACCATTTATCATACTGAACATAGGAACTACGAAATTAGGCTAAACTAACGAATTTAGATTTAATTTGAAAATACCATCCTCACTTTTTCTCCTTATATGGCCACCTCGTAAATGGACCACTTGTTTAATAAATGAATTTATACTAAATCTGTGTTGTCGGGTAATATTCATGATGGTTAGTGTCCCACCGACGGCTATTGCCACAACCTTTGGCTGAAGCCGAAGCAGAAGCCTTAAAATCTTAAGAAATTCAGTTCAAGATTGGCTAAAATTAAATGATTTTAAAACTTTTAAATATAAAGGTTATATTGATTGTATAAAATAAAAAGCTAATTTTAATCGTCTAAAACGATGATAAAAATTGCGTTGTTTATTGTTTATCGCATTCTCGTTCATTTGTGACATATCATTTCATTCGATTTCGACGCTTGCTAGAAATCTTCGGCCCATTTTAGTCGAAGATGAATTATTTTGCCGAAGGTGGTTCTTTTGTCCGAAGGTGAGCAAAGCCACCTTTTTTTTTATAGGATAAGGGTGACAAACGAGCACACAGTCCACCTGATGGTAAGTGGTTGCTGCGGCCCATAGACATCTACATCTATGCTCGTTTGCAAATCAAAATGCAGATGCGTTGTCACCCGTGAGGACTAAGATGGAATGCCTCATTTCCAGCAAAAAGAGCCTCCGCCCACCTGCACTCACCAAGCGAAACGCAGAGGTAAACCACTACTTCACGCTGGTATTCTGTGAGGACGTGGTACCACCTTGATTCGAGCTGGCCCATCCGTGCGACAGCAAAAGCTGCCGCGTGGCTCTACCACTGTTAAATTTATTTTTTTCTACCACTGTTAATTTTAATGTTATCCATCTGTTCTATTTTTCTTATAGCATGACGCTATAAGCAGGAGTGCTATCGAACCTGGGCTGACGCATCAACGTCCCGGAATGTAAATACCAGCGCTCTTAAAAAAAGTATAACTCCGCCTCCAGGTCCTTCAAAAGTGTCATTGCCAAGGCAAAGTCAGAGCACATTGGCAGAATTGGCGAGAAACTAGTTGTTCGCCTCCCTTCGGGAACACGTGCATTCTGGTCTCTCGCTAAGGCTGTCCAAGGGAACTTCTGTCAGCCATCTTTGACATCTCTGTACAGGGTGGACGACTCACTGGCCCATGACGCAAAAGAGAAAGCCGATCTGCTAGGCTCTCTTTTTGCTTCCAACTCGACTCTAGATGACGGGGGGAACACACTGCCGACCATCCCGCGGTGTGACTGCTCCATGCAGGAAGTGCTTTTTAGTCAGCGCTCGGTGCGTAAAGCACTCTTCTCCCTGCACGTCAACAAGTCGAGTGGGCCTGATGGAGTCCCACCTACCTGTGCTGAAGACGTGTGCTCCGGAGTTGTCATCAGTTTTAACGCGTCTTTTCCGGTACTCCTACTCCCTTGTCGTAGTCCCGAACTCATGGAAGACAGCTTTGGTGCACCCGATCCCTAAAAAAGGCGACCGCTCAGATCCGTCCAACTACAGGCCTATCGCTATCACCTCCTTGTTCTCCAAAGTAATGGAAACTACTATTAACAGCCAGCTCATGCGGTACCTTGAGGATCACCAGCTAATTAGTGACCGTCAGTATGGTTTCCGTCGAGGTCGCTCAGCTGGTGATCTTTTGGGTTACCTAACTCATAGATGGGCGGAGGCAGTGGAGTCCAAGGGGGAGGCGTTGGCCGTTAGTTTGGACATAGCGAAGGCCTTCGATCGGGTTTGGCACAAAGCACTTCTTTCGAAACTGCCTTCCTATGGGCTTCCTGAGAAATTGTGCAATTGGATCACAGGCTTTCTTGCAGATCTGAGCATCAAGGTCGTAGTGGATGGTGCATGCTCCGATTACAAGTCCATTAACGCTGCGTGGTGACGACAGCACTGGTGATGCTCTATACACCGGCCGTGCCAATATTTATCGGGAAAACGTCGCCAAGTACCGGAACAAACTTGTGTCTGAAGTCGAGTCTTTGCTGAACAAAGTCTCGGATTGGGAGCGACTAAATCTAGTCCAGTTTAATCCTCAGAAGACACAAGTTTGCACGTTTACCGCAAAAAAAAAACCTCTTTGTCGTATATCCTCAGTTTCAAGGCACTCCCCTTGTTGCCTCAGCCAGTATCGGAATCCTCGGTGTCGACATATCGAGTGACATGCAGTTTCGTGGTCACTTGTAAGAGAAGGCCAAATTGGCCTCTAAAAAGCTTGGCGTGCTCAGCAGAGCAGGACAGTATTTTATGCCGGCACACCCCTTGCGACTTTACAAGGCGCAGGTTCGGCCTCACATGGAATACTGTTCCCATCTCTGGGCAGGGGCTCCCCAGTGCCAGGAATTTATACGTGGTAGAGCCATGCTGCAGCTATATTAGTAGTATAGTTGTAGCACGAATGGGTCGGCTCTCGACCGGGGAAGGACCACGCTCTCATAGAATACCAGCGTAAAATAGCGGTTTAATGCTGCTGTGTTTCGTATGGTGAGTGTAGAGAACCGGAGACCTATTTTACTGGAAAAGAGGCATTCTATCATAGTCCTCACGGCTGACAACGCATCTGCATTTTGATTCGCAAACGAGGATAGATGTAGATTTCTAAGAGTCACAGCAACCACTTACCATCAGGTGGACTGTATGCTCGTTTGTCACCCTTATTCTATAAAAACGGAATCTATACTATATTTTATACCAAAAATATGAAGTTATTTTTAGAAAATAACGAAAGTTAATAAAATATAATGATCTTTGATTACCTTAACTCTATAATAACGCCTCATCAAAACGAAGCCGGGGCGAGTCGCTAGTTTATATAAATATGTTTTACTTACTCAAACAACAATCGAATGTTGTATAAACAACACAGATTGTTATAGATTGAATCATATTTGGTTAAATGAATTATTTATGTTTTCATTGGACGCACGCGAGTGAAATGCAAAAGAGAAGGCGCGAGTGTATTTATGGTTGTCCGTGTCGCTGCTCAAACTAGTGCCGATAGAAAATCGGATAGTTTTAATACAATAAGTTATTTTAACGATTGCACTGATTTTTATTTATTTATCTATGGTGAGTGAAGCCATTAACATAGATGTCAAGAAAACAGAGCGCGGCGGCAATTAATGGGAGTAAAGATTACTAACGACCAAACCATTAATATTTAAGCTATTTCAAGGATATTTTTGCAGCTATACACCGAAATGGCCCGCTACAAATATATGTGTTTATTCGTTTTTGTTATTACGCCGGTATTCAATCAAACTGTCGATAGCCAACTCGACGTTTTCAACGTATTCGGAGCTGTATACGACATTGTTGGCGGAATATCGAACTTGGCGAGATTAATAAATAGTTTCAAAGATGTTTTCGGTGTTCTCGCTGACAGTAAAACTAATGTACGAAATTATACCACATTACCGGTGCCGGAAGATACATTTTTGAATATAACGGAGCTCGCGAAGAAATATGATTACACGATCGAAGAGCACAAAGTCACTACTGATGATGGTTACATATTGACTTTACACAGAATCCCAAAAGGAAGGAACTCTTCGAGTAATAACCTGACTGTATTCCTCATGCATGGAATTTTGGATTCTTCGGACAGTTGGATACTTCTGGGGCCAAATAAATCTTTAGGATACATTCTAGCTGATTCTGGTTTCGACGTATGGATGGGCAATGCGAGAGGCAATAAACATTCACTCTCGCATACAAAGCTAAATACGACACAAACTGAATTTTGGGATTTCACTTGGGAAGAAATAGGACAATACGATCTTGCGTCAATGATCGATCATGTTTTACAGCTAACCAATAAGGAGAGTTTGTACTACGTCGGCCATTCTCAAGGCACAACAAGTTTTTACGTGTTGAACTCTCTCAAGCCGGAATACAATAAGAAAATTAAGATGATGTTTTCTCTAGCGCCTGTCGCTTGGATGGGGCACGTCAAGAGTCCCATAGTGAAAATGTTCTCGCCGGCGAACAAAATCCTCCCATACATCAATTCGAATGCGTATTCCCACAGTACGGAATATTTCAGTACCGTGACGGGCATAATATGCAATTTCCTTCCGATTAGATGCGACAGTCTGCTCAATCTGATCATCGGTTACGACTTCAAGCATATAAACACGTCAATGTTGCCAGTGATACTGGGCCACATACCGGCGGGATCGTCTACACTGCAATTCGTTCATTACGGTCAATTGGTGCAGTCTGGCAGATTCCGACGATACGATCGTGGCGAGAGTGTCAATTTGAAGGTATACGGTACAAAAGTACCGCCCGATTATGATCTTAGCAATATAACAGTGCCTATAGTGTTGTTCTACAGTGGCAACGATTGGCTCTCCGACCCATCTGACGTAGAAATACTTCGGGCCCATTTGAACGTCCACGAATGTCGCTATATAGAAGATTTCAATCATATGGATTATCTTTACGCCGATATTGCGAAAGATTTAATTTATACTAATATAATTCGACAGATTTTAAGTTACGAAATTGAGAATTCTACAAAAAGTTTTGTAACAAATTACGAAAATATTGTAATATAAATATTTTAAATAAAATTATAATCGCATTTTATCAACATGGTGTAATTAAAATAGATAAGCATATGCTAGAAAAAATCTTGCGAACTACGAATAGCGGATAGCAATTTTTAAACAACCAACGAAAAATATCAAAAGTATCCACAACAACGACGTTTTTCCATAGCCTAGCCGTCTGTTGTCATTTAAAAGAAGCTAATGCACAGCAGTGGAATTATTATTATTTTTTATAGGATAAGGGTGACAAACGAGCACACAGTCCACCTGATGGTAAGTAGTTGCTGCGGCCCATACACATCTACATCTATCCTTTATTACAAATCAAAATGTAGATGCGTTGTCACCCGTGAGGACTAAGATGGAATGCCTCATTTCCAGTAAAAAAGGCCTCCGGCCACCTGCACTCACCAAGCGAAACGCAGAGGTAAACCTCTACTTCACGCTGGTTTTCTGTGAGGTCGTGGTACTACCCCGGTTCGAGCCGGCCCATCCGTGCGACAGCAAAAGCTGCCGCGTGGCTCTACCACTGTTAAAATTAACAGGCTAACTCTCTAAAAATCTTGGTCAAACAAAGTATTAAAAAAATCATTATCTGTGTGACATGAAATGATTTCCATTCGTAATAAACTAATTAATTAACACCTAATAATCAGACACTTGAGATCGTGTCACTTTTTCTTATAACAAAAATAAAGTTTACTAAAATTATTACATAAGTTTCTTGACCGTTTAGTGGCGGTGTAAGAATATCTAATAGCGAATATATACCTCTTACGACACCTGCGGGACTCCGTGGGTGTCGTAAGAGGTGGCAGACGGAAACAAACCAGGAGATGACCAGCAGTCTTCCTAAAGGAACTGCGGTTACTACAGCAGTTTTTTAGTTATTATTATTAATTATTCTGCTGAACATAGCCCTTCCCAATAGATTGCCGCATAGGGAAGATATTTGCCATAGTTGCCACACCTCACATGCCGGCGGGTTGGCAACCGCAGTGTTTTATTCTTTAGTTATTAATAGGAAGACGCTGCTGCCCAGAGGTGGTTTACGTCCGTCTGTCGCCTCTTACGACACCCACGGGACATAATGGGATAGTCGATAATCTTATATCGGTACTACCTACACGGTCAAATACATTCATCATCATCATCATCATTACAGCCTTTCATAAGTTCACTTCTAAACATGGCCTTCCCCAAGGAATGCCACAAAGCACGGTCCTGAGCCACGTGCATCCATCGACTTCCTGCATGTCTTACCAGGTCGTCACTCCATCTAGTGGGGGGACGCCCTACACTTCGTCCGCCGGTACGAGGCCGCCACTCGAGAACCTTTTTTCTCTTTATCTTACATCGGTACTACCTACACGGTCAAATACATTAAATAAAATATAACATTCATTGTTAACCTCCATACTGTCAATGTCAAACACATTTTTCACACAAGGAATTTTAAAATGTTGCCAACAAACTATTTAATCTTGTGTGATTTCAAATTAATGTTCCTTTTTCAATGGTCTGTAAAGTATACGTCAAGGCAGAAAAGCGTTTATTTTATATTTTGTATATGAGATATGTGGGTTTTGATGTGCAGCTTTTTTAATATACAAACTTAAAACTTTTATGAATTACGGTCGAATTGACCACTTGTATAATACATGTACAACATTGTTTCTTGCCTTTTGAATTATTATATAAAATTAAAACACTTATATACATATTACAAGCAAGGCATAGAATAGTTGTTTTTATTCAATATACATAACATGTGATTCTTATTAAACGCGCGAGCTTGTGGGAGTGCTCTACTCTCGACACGCCGCTATGTGAAAATTTTGCAATATAAAATTGTTAGTATGTCTCGATGTAGACACTAAATTAATAAAAAATGGATGTTTTAAAAGCTGGATACATATTAAATTATAAAGTCAGCGTATTTTTTTATTCATTTGTTTAGTTATATTTACGTTATAGTTACGTTATTGTACGTGGTAGAGCCATGCTGCAGCTATATTAGTAGTATAGTTGTAGCACGAATTGGTCTACTCTACCGGGGAAGGACCACGTTCTCTCAGAATACCAGCGTAAAATAGCAGCTTAACACTGCTGTGTTTCGTATGGTGAGTGTAGAGAACCGGAGACCCATTTTACTGGAAAAGAGGCATTCCATCTTAGTCGTCACGGGTAACGACGCATCTGCATTTTGATTCTTTATTGAGAATAAATGTAGATGTTTATGCGTCATAGCAACCACTTACCATCAGGTGGACTGTGTGCTCGTTTGTTACCCTCATTCTATAAAATAAATGTAGTTAAAAATTATTAGTACGGCTGTATATTAATACTATAAAATCAAAAATATACTAACTATTTACATAACATTGCCATTTTTACTTGGTTAAAGGTGACAAAAACTTCACCTGATTGTAAGTGCATGCTACATAATAGGACCCATGAAGACTGCAAAAGAATCCCTAGTTACCAGAACTCTTAAAATACTTTTACTTTTAGCTCTAATCGTTCACCACAACACACAGAATACCAACGTTAGTAGCATTATACTGACGCCGGTAGACTGTGCACTTGTTGGTCTTCACGTTTCACAAAAATATACGCAACGAAATGAAATAAATCTTTCTGAATAAGTTTCCAATTAACCTCAGGATGATACCTATTGCTGGTTGTTATCAGACTCATAGACGTTTAAAAGATTTTTTTCATTACAATTAAATGAAACTGGTGGAAAAAATAAAAAGGCTCACGAAGCGTGGACATTTTTATTTTCAAAACTATTTACTTTTACCACTGGTTCGGGAAAAAAACCTCTGTCCTAGGAAGAACCAGTGAGAAACCCAGCGCGACTTTCTTTAAATAAAATTAATTTACAATATATTATTTTATACCATTAGTATGAAAATGTTTAGAAACAGCGTGGTAGCGATTACCTCAATCCCAGGGGTCATTATCAATCATGTACTATTTAGTAATTATATATAAGATTCAAATAGAATTTGCTCCTTACCCAATATCCAGTTCCTCCTTTCTCTTATACAGCTTCTCCTTTTGTTCAGAAAAGCTGATGAACTGGTCCAGGGCCTTCTTGTTCACGTGGCTGTACTTCTTGAGGTGCTGGTTTGCTTTCTCCAGTTCTTTGAACAACTATATAACAAGCAGATTTTAATAAGTTATCATTCCCCGAAGGAATAAGACGCCAATTTACCGGCTTTATACATAAAAACTGCGTTACTCAGTCAGTAAAGCCTGACCAGAATAATAATAATCATCATCATCACTACATGCTATCAAAGTCCACAAATGAACGTCCCTCATATGCCTCATAATCATTCATCATGATTACAGCCCTTCACAAGTCCACTGCTGAACATAGGCCTCCCCCAAAGAATGCCACAAAGCACGGTCCTGAGCCACCTGCATCCATCGACTTCCTGCATATCTTACCAGGTTGTCACTCCATCTAGTGGGGGGACGCCCTACACTTCGCCTACCGGTACCAGGCTGCCACTCGAGAACCTTTCTTCCCCATCGGTTGTCGGTTCTTCGAGCTATATGGCCGGCCCATTGCCATTTCAGCTTACTAATCCGTTGGGCTATGTCGGTCACTCTGGTTCTACTGCGGATATCCTCATTTCTGAGTTTATCACGCAAAGAAACTCCGAGCATAGCCCTCTCCATAGCTCGGTGAGCGACCTTGAGCTTCCTCATCCGGCCAGCAGTGAAGGACCATGTCTCAGTTCCGTATGTCATCACTGGCAACACGCACTGGGTGTACAGTCTCGTTTTCAAGTTTTGAGGTATACCTGACGAGAAGATGTGCCGTAATTTCCCGAACGCCGCCCAGCCGAGTTGAATCCGTCGATTGACCTCTCGGTCGAAGTTGGACTTACCTAGTCGGACTATTTGTCCCAGGTAAACATACTCGTCAACAACTTCGAGCTTAGTGTTCCCAACAACTACCGGCATAGGTGTGACATGGACATTAAACATGATCTTTGTTTTGTCCATGTTCATCTTAAGACCTATCCGTTGGGAAACACTATTGAGGTCATTGAGCATAGTGCTTAGGTCCTCCAGCGATTCTGCCATAAGGACTATATCGTTGGCAAATGGAAGGTGAGTGATGTATTCGCCATTGATGTTGATACCGTATCCTTTCCAGTCCAGAAGCTTGAAAACATCTTCCAATGCAGCGGTAAAGAGTTTCGGGGATATGACGTCACCCTGTCTTACACCTCTCTGCAATTGGATAGGTTTCGTACTCTGGTTCTGTACTCGTATAGCCACCGTAGCCCTACTGTACAAGCACTTCAACACTTCGATATACCGACAGTCAACTTGGCATCGCTGAAAGGACTGCAGCACCGCCCAAATTTCGACGGAATCAAAGGCTTTCTCATAGGCCACATACGCCAGACATAGTGGCAAATTGTACTTCTGTACAATTTGCCGAAGGGTATGTATGTGGTCTATGGTGCTAAAGCCTTTTCGGAAACCGGCTTGTTCGGGAGGCTGGAAGTCGTCAAGTCTGCGCGCGAGACGATTCGTAATGACTCTCGAACAGCACGTAGACGCGGCTCAGAAGGGAAATCGGTCTGTAGTTCTTCAAGAGAGCGTTGTCGCCTTTCTTGAAGAACAAGACCACCACACTTCTGCTCCACGCCTCCGGTGTAATGCCAACATGGAGGACGGAATTAAAGAGCTTCTGAAGGACTTCAAGTACTGGTTTTCCACCCGCTTTCAGAAGCTCCGCTGTAATTCCATCCTCGCCTGGGGGCCTTGCCGTTTTTAAGGTGCTGGAGAGCCATTCTAATCTCGCTCAGACTGACGTCCGGGATATCATCGGAATAATGTCGGATAAGACTCGCTCTTGGATCGTTACTCACACTTGCGTGCGGCTCCAACGATGACGTGTACAGCTGCCCATAGAACCTCTCAATCTCACTCAAAATCTCAGGTGCCCCGGAAACGATGCTGCCACCCTCGGTCCTCAGCTTTGACAGTTGGCTCTTTCTGGCAGACAGATCTCTGGCAAAGACTTTGGAGCCTTGGTTCCGTTCGATCGCTTCTTCAATACGAGCTGTATTGAAGTTGCGTAAGTCCCGCCGCATGCATTTGGAGATCTGTCTGTTCAGTTGCCTGTATGCTGTCAAATCTGTTGAAGAATGTAGCTTCATCTCCCGTCTAACAGCCATGAGATTAAGAGTGTGATCGGAGAGTTTTTGTGTTCTTCTGCGGCGGGTCTTGCAGAACTTAGCTCCGACCGCATGGACAGTTTCCACGAGCTTGTCATTCAAATCGTCCACTTCATTGCAGTCTTCTAGGCACTGAAAACGGTTTTGTAACTCGAGCTGAAAGGTTTCGGGACTTTGGATTAGAGCATGAGGGGGACGGAGCGTTGATTTCATTAGACGAGACCTCTCCAACTTAACGTTTAGGTTCAGTGTGCCTCTAACCATTCGATGATCGCTGCCGGTTTCACCCTCGCGATCACTGAGACATCACTGAACAGTTGTCGTCTGGTCGTCATAATGAAGTCAATCTCATTTTTTGTCGAACCGTCGGGGCTCGACCAGGTCCACTTCCTGTGGGGCCGCTTCTGGAAGAAAGAGTTCATCATAAAGAGTCCCTCTTTCTCCATGAAGTCGGCCAGCTGCTGGCCCCTTGGGTTCCGTTGCCCTATTCAAAATTTCCCCACTTTCAGCTCACCGTTCTCTCTTGTGCCTAGTTTTGCATTGAAGTCTCCCATTACCACCGTATATTGGGTTTTGGAGGAATGCATGGCTCTAGAGATATCCTCATACATTTCCTCCATCTCCTGATCGGGGTGTGCCGAGGTCGGTGCGTAAACCTGTATGACCTTCAGCGAATACCGTTTGGTGATTCTGAGTATAAGGTACGCAACCCTCGTCGACACACTCTCAATCTTTAACGTTGTTAACGAGAGACTTGTGGACGATAAATCCGACACCTCCTTGGGACAGATGGTCGCCCTCCCGGTAATAGAGCAAGTTGCCGGATTCGAGGATTACCGTGTCCTCCCCCTCTCTTCGGACTTCGGATAATCCTATAATATGCCAGCGTAACTTGTCTATCTCTTCTTCCAGCTCCACAATATTCTCGTCAGTCCTCAGGGTGCGTGCGTTGTATGTTGCCAGGTCGAGTCGTCGTAGGTGGCAACCGAACCTCCACCGGAGATTCTTAGCACCCCCTGCCCCGCCGTTACCATGGTCGCCACCTTAGCCAGGAATAGCGGGGGCTGGGGGCCGTCTCTTCGCAACTTTCATCATGGGGGGTATATTGCCATAGTTGCCACGCCTGGCGAGCGGGTTGGCAACCGCAGTTTTTTATTGTATTTTTGCCGTTACCAGGAAGATGCTGCTGCCCATCCCCTGCCTGTTTGTTGTTTTCGTCTGTTTCAGTTTCTATCTGTTGCCTCTTATGACGTGGCGAATTCTCTTCGTAGCTACTACAGGACGAAAACTAAAAAGTTGAGGTGAGATTTTAACGGACCCCCACCTTTTAATAAAATGAGATTTTGCCAGTCAAACCCCTCATTTAGCTCCACGGAGCATTTGCTCAAAGAGGAGACAAAGAGGAGACGGCCTAAGCAATTGCTTCGACGTCAAGACCTAGTTGAAGAATCACAGCGCACAATTGTGCGCTGTGATTCTTCAACTAGGTCTTGACGTCATCACAGTGGGCGTGGCTTTAATTAGTATGCTGTCAGCGTTCGTCCTGTGCACTTATGTGTCGAAAGTCGCAAGAGGGTGTATTTTCGTAGTATAAAGAAGAAAAGGATGAAGTATTGTGTTTTACAGTGTAAAAACTACTCAGATAGACGCTCTGATGCTATGGATGGCATCATATTTCAGTTGTAAGTAATTTTATACCTAATCTATTAAAATAGTTCTAGAAAAATCTCTGCGTCGGCTTTCAAATATAATTTAATATATTCGACACTAGATGGCGACACTTTTTGTCATGGGAACTAAAAATATAAAAGTACGTAGAGCTCAGTATTGGTAAAATAATCATACGAAGGTGCTAACTTTGTTTTGCATTCAGTCCTAAAGAATTTTTAATCGCCAAATTATTATTTTTATACTTTTTATAACCATTTTGTGAACAGGCCGCCATCTGTCGTCAAGGTAGCTAAACTACATAAACATGGAGCCATATCCATATGGATTGATCCATATGGAACGATGCGAGTAGTTTTACTATTTATCGGTAGATGGAAAACAGTTAAGTGGGCATGGCTTAACACCCCCTCACCCCGCATATTGCTACGCGTTGTTACATAGTGAAATCTAATTACAACACCTCCTCTTTGTATTTGCTCCGTGTTTAGCTCTCATCTCAGAAACTGTAGTCTGTTATTCGTCATTATTACGCTAAAAGTACGATTATATAATCATGAGATAATGGACATGTTATTTGTATGTATCGGATCAAATTTTATTGAGGAAAAAATGTTACCTGTTTCAAAGACATCTTCTGATATTTGGCGTGCAGTTCAGGCGCGTTAGACAAAGTGCCGAGCGCGGCTATCTTGTCAAGTGATTCCTGTATTTTCTCCTGTAGCAACACCTCCTTTGATGCCATCTTCTCTAATCCCTTGGCGTCTTCTTCCATTTTGTCTTGAGCTTCTTTTTCCTGATATATTTAAATAAAATATACTTTATGTCAATTTAATAGAAAAGCTAATAGGTTATAAATTTAAAAATGCATTTGCTAAAACCCGTCTAATAAAATAAAATGATGCCTTACTTAGTAGCACCCCTACCCCCCCCCCCCCCACGCCATAAGTGTGTGCACTATCACTGTCACCACTGCTCCCAACAGCACTACACTAGGAAAGACATACCACCGTCGATTAACCGACACGTGTTTCGCCTTTAAACGATACATCCTCAGGTGAAATAGACTCTGTGGTGACGGACTGCAGAGCTCGTTTATATATATATATATATATATATATATATATATATATATATATATATATATATATATATATGTGTGTAGAATAGGGGTGACATACGAGCACACAGTCCACCTGATGGTAAGTGGTTGCTGTGGACTATAGACATCTACATCTATCTTCGTTTGCAAATTAAAATGCAGATGCGTTATCAGCCGTGAGGACTAAGATGGAGTACCTCATTTACAGTAAAACGGGTCTCCGGTTCTCTACACTCACCATACGAAACACAGTAGCATTAAGCTGCTATTTTACGCTGGTATTCTGTGAGAGCGTGGTCTTTCCCCGGTCGAGCCGACCTATTCGTGCTACAACTATACAAATAATATAGCTGCAGCATGGCTCTACCACGTTTAAAAAAGCTCGTTTATTCTAAGTAATTTTTTACATCTTTAATTTATTGTATTTCCGCAACGTAACGCCCTGATTCTATTAATAATTCAAGTTAATAGAATTACGCAGTGAAATTCAATAAGCGGACAGTTAGTTCGTTGTCCCTTTCTTCATCAGCCCCTAGCCCACTGCCGGACATAGGCCCTTCCTGTTTTAGGGAGGTTTTGCCTTATTCATCTCGCTTGGCTACCAGACGTCTCGTACCTTTGACGCTGCTGCCTGTACCGTTGCCAATTTGGGGATATTACGTCTGGCGTAAAAGTTACAGCATATATACGTACCACTGCTGGGCACAGCCTTCCTCTCATTTCTGTGATGTTTTTAGGACAAGGAAATGTGAGCGAACATGCAGGTTTCCGCAAGCTGTTTTCCTTCACAGCCGAGCACGTGGTAAATCAGCACTTAAAATTGCAATTAACAACTTACAGCGAGCATTAACAATTTACTACGAAATTTATAGGTAGCAACTTACCCTTTGGCGTAGACGAAACTGTTTGAAACCCATTGTCTCTTCTTACAAGGCACACATAATGGGGTAATGGAATTCATTACTCCTCCACTATACTAAATAATATAAAATGTTACGTGGTAGACAGCTCTACCACCTACTCTACCAGCGTAACCGCTGCAGCTATATTATGGATGTAGCACGAATAGGTCGCATCGACTGGGAACCACGCTCTCACAGAATACTAGCGTAAAATAGCAGCTTAGTTCTGTTGTGTTTCGTATTCGAGAAACTTTTTACTGGAAATAAGGCATTAATATCTTAGTACTCAAAGGTGACAACGCATCTGCATTTTGATTCATAATCGAGGATAAATGTAAATGTCTATGGGCTACAGCATTCACTTACCATTAGGTGAACTGTGTGCTTGTTAATACACCCTTACCTATACAAATAAATAAAATTGAAGTGTCTGTTTGTAATGTCAAAAATACAGCTTTTTACTAAATGCATATGAAAGTATAAACGGTACTAATAACAAAAATACAATTTTTAAAGTTTTTGTCTGTCTGTCCGTCTGTCTGTCTGTCTGTTCCAGCTAATCTCTGAAACGGCTGGACCGATTTCGACGAGATTTTCACTGGCTGATAGCTGATGTCACAAGGAGTAACTTAGGCTACTTTTATTTTAGAAAAAGAATTAGGGTTCCGTGCAAAAAAATTTAAACCCCAAATGACACGCGGGCGAAGTCGCGGGGAACAGCTAGTTCTATAATAAAAGAAAAAGTTATATAGCGATAAATATAATTCATAATTAAAATGCTAATGTCATTTTTATAACAAGTTAAGTTTCCTCAGTACATACCTTATTCCTCCACTTGTCCAGCTCCAACTTCAACGCCTTCTCGTTCTTGACGGCAGCCTGCACTTTCTTCTCGACTTCTTCCATCTCCTTGTTGATTTGACGTATTCTCTTCTCGGCGGCCGCCAGATCCGCTTTGCTGTTTGCCAGCCTCCGCTTGCGGTCCTCCACTGATATCTCTTGCAACGCTTGTACTAATTCATCTTTACGCCTGGTGAGGAAATAAAAAATATTTTTTTATGTTTTAAAATTTACTAATATACTGTGGATATAATTTTGCGAATATGTTTTGGAAAATCTAGAAGAATGTAGGCAGGCTAGGGAAGTGCTGCCAACAATAAATAGTCGTTACACCAAGGTTCTAATGAGACTAAACAAACCACACATCAGGATAACCACAAGTGCTATTATTTATTTATTTATTTATTCTTTATTGCATTCCTTAACCTAAAAGAATACAAAGGGCGGACTTAATGCCTTGTGGCATTCTCTACCAGTCAACCCATGGAGTGGTGAGAATTTGAAGTAGGTGTAGCAATATAGAATAAAAAGAAAATAGAAATGTATAATTAATTACATTATATATACATTTTACTATTATATACAATAAATAAACTATAAAAATATATCCTATTTATACATGTATACAAATATATACGTACATACATAAGCATACATATATTCATACCAACATACATATACAAATAATACATATAAATAACTAGAAATATATACGTCTAAAATATAAATGACATGGATGATTCATCTAAGAAGCGTTGTCTTTAGACAGATAGATGATTACGCACCAACTTTTTAAAAGCAAACTTATTGGGAGCTTTTCTGATGTCGTCAGGCAAGGAGTTCCAAAGGCGTGCAGCCTGAACTGTAAAGGAGTTACCATAGAACTCGGTGAAGTGAACTGGAATACATATTTTGTTGTTAGAAGACGAACGTAGAACCCTATCATGAGATGAGGAGAGATAGTGAAATTTGCTCTTAAGATAAGAAGGCGAAAATGGGTCATTTAATATGGAAAAAAGAACAAGTAATATTCTGGAAATACGCCTCTACCGGATTGTAAGCCAATTAAGCTTAGATCTATATTGCGAAATATGGTCATACTTACGAAGCCCGAAAATAAATCTTATACAGTTATTGAGAAGGCGTTTCAGCTTGTTCAGAAGATCCTGGGACAGATCCGGGTAACACACATCTGCATAATCAATTATGGGTAATATGAGTGATTGGACAAGCATGATCTTAGACTTTGTGGGGAGAAAATGTTTTAAACGATACAGAGTACGTAACGTAGCAGTGACTTTACGACTGACTTCAGCAACCTGAGTTCTCCAATTCAGCGTGTTGTCAATGTGTAGGCCAAGATTTTTTACAGACTTACTGAACGGTATTGTAATCCCATTGTAGTAGATAGAGGGTATGTCTGCAAGATTAATCTTGGCTAGCATCCTTGAGCTACCCACCAGTATAGCTTGGCATTTTGAAGGATTGACCAATACTCCATAACGAGTAGACCAATCCTTGATAGCTTGTAAGTTGTTATTTAATTTTTTAATCCCATTATGGATATCCCCAATTTCAGCTTGCACGTATAGCTGAAGGTCATCGGCATACAGATGGTACGAGCAATCAAAGATGGAGGTAATAAAGTTTATAAAAATAGAAAAAATTATAGTAGAAAGAATACCGCCTTGCGGTACACCAGCTTCCACATCAGCCCAAGCTGAGGTTATTTGCCCCACACAGACTGACTGCTGTCGACCGCGAAGATAAGATGCACACCATTCCAATGCTGTAGGGCCAAAATTTAGATGAGACAGTATGGATAGAAGGATTTCATGATCAACTGTGTTGAAAGCATTTGAGAAATCAACTAGTACCAGTACTGTTACTTTTTTTTCTTCCATACCGTTTCTAATATCGTCTGTGACGTTAATTAAAGCAGTACTGGTACTATGACCAGGGCGAAACCCAGACTGATATATACTCAGTAGGTTATGTTTCGAAATGAATGTAGAAATTTGCTTGTAAACACAGGATTCTAAAATTTTGGATAGAAAGGGTAGAATGGATATAGGGCGAAAATGATTAGGAAGAATGGGAGAAGGAACTTTTGGAAGGGGCTTTATAAAAGCCCTTTTCCAAAGATTAGGGTACTGACCTGAATCAAGGGAAAAATTTATAACATGGGAAATTGCCGGAAGAAGGTGCTCTAGTATAAATACTACCATTTGTCTACTAATCTCATCATAACCCACCGCCTTGGACTGAATTGCTAAAATAGACTTTTTGACATCATCCTGCGAAACAGGAGAGAAATTAAAGGTAAAAGTAAAAGCAATGGAAGCCACAGTTTGAGAGCGAATTGTAGGGTCCATTGCTGTTACAGAAGCGAAATGTTGGTTGATTTCATCAAGTGATAGAGAACGACCACAATCCAATGTAGCTGGCCTGCAAAGACCAGAAGATCTAAGAAATTTCCACACTTCGGCGGGAGAAGAGTTGTTAATACAATTATGGAAATATCGGCGTTTAGCTGCCCGTACCATTTGATTGCACCTATTCCTGGCTGCTTTAAAAGATGACCAATTTTCTTCATTACGTTCTCTCTTAAAACGAAGAAAAGCTCGATTACGTCTAGTCATTGCCATCCTTACGCCCTCTGTCATCCATGGGGCTGGAGGACGCTTCAATCTAACCTTGTGAATTGGGGCATGAGCATCATAAAGGCTGAGAATATTTTGGTTAAGGATAGAGACTTTATCATCAACAGTAGGTGCTGCAATAAATGAGGTTAGATCCAGACTAAGAGCGTCATCCCTTAGCTTGTCAAAATCTATTTTAGAAAAACTGCGCAGATGCAGTACAGAAGGGGAATATTTGGGAGGTTTAAGCTTATACGAAGAATAAATCAAGTCATGACGTGAGATGCCCAAAGCAGGTAACTGTCCGTGCATCATCACACGATCAGGAGAAGCAGCAAGGATGAGATCAATCAATGAGTCATCGGTTCCAATATTGTGATGAGTAGCCTTTAAAGGGAGAATAGAAAGATTAACCGACTCAACAATTGAAAGAAGTTTTTTGGAACGAGGAGAGTTTTTCAACAAATCTGTATTGAAGTCACCCATGATTACACAGTGTGCGTACTCAGAACAAATATCAACAAGAGCCATATCTAAAGTGGCGAAGTAATCTGTCGAAGGGGGGCAATACACTACCCCTAGAAGCATCCTTATACCCTTGACATCAAGTTCCAAAAATAAAAACTCAGAAGAGGCAGAGTAACAGGAAGGAGATGCTGAAACAATTTTATGAGGAATTGATGCGTGTAGGTAAATGGCTACACCACCTCCACCTTTTCCAACCCGATCATTCCTAACAAGTACAAAGCCGGGTAGGGGATATAAAATTGACGGTAAAGAAGGCTTTAGCCAACTTTCCGACACTAATATGGCATGAATATGCTCGGGTGAAAATGAAGCTTCGAGTTCGGTGTAGTGGCTCGGGATACTTTGAGCGTTTATGTGACATATGTTCAGAGAGTTGTTAAAAGGCTTAAAAACCTCTTTGAGTAGTTGGTGTATATCAAGCACACTGTCGGTAAAGGAATCATCACAAGAGTAAAATGATATGGCAGAAGAATCATTTGCAGAGCTAAATGACTCAAAATCAGACATAATTCATAGACTAATAAAATAAATATAAAAAAAAACTAAACAATATTATATATATAAAATATAAAAGTAAGGAATGTAAACTATAAAACTAATTTATATGCTAAAACGTAGTAAACATAAACAACACCATCCCCTCAGTTAACCGTTTACAAAAGTAAACTTAATATAAATAAATTTTATGTGCAAACTATAAAATATAATATCTGAAGTGGCAAAATATTTTGTCTAATAATATTAATATTCCTAAATAGGTATCTCACAAAATAATAAGAGTCTACCATAATAAATCGATTACAAAATTAAAGTACAAAATCGATAGTGTCTGTATGGTACATTTGTCCTTTGTCTAGCAAGGCTAAAAAAAAATAATGTCTAAATTATAAATCAAATAGAAAATATTATGTATAGTTTTACGGTCAATTTAGGGTACATTTATAAAAGTAAAAAAACAATAAGTATTGTTAGCACAAATTATAAAGATGATTGTAATTAGATTATTACCATTAACATGCATAGCATAGATAAACCTACTAAATAAGTAAGACTCCTCTACTAACTAACTAAAGAGAAAACTAAGCATAAGCAAGTGATATACTAGACATGAAACATGATTAAATTCTATCTTGATTTACAAGGACAAACATTCCAAGGAGTTTATTTTACAAGGAAAACAAATTAAAAAAAAATTGCAATAAAACAGCTATTACAAGCGAACTACTCAAAAGTATAGGCATAATAGTGTTCTATGCTAAAGTTGAAATCAGAACCATGAAATGTACTTAATATTAAATATAAAAAAAAAAAATAAAGGATACCTAAGAATATAACAAGATAATTTAAATAAGCTACTTTTTAGCTATTAAACGGCGGGACCTTTTAGGATCCTCTTTCTGCCCCACCATACCATCTTGATTGCGACGAGAAATAACACACTGACTTTTTGAGCTTGAAGAACTTTGCAGGCTTTGAATGGGCTTCTTTGCAACATTAGTAACGCCACTATTAGAAGCTATGCCATGACTAACTGGTGAGCAATCGCCAGGAAACTTTCCAATGAGATTATCAATCTCCTCTTCAGTGGAGATCTTTGCCCGTTCGTTATTGGGGAGTTTTATAAAAATTGTGCCATTGAAGGTCCACACATTCTTCAATCCAAAATGTTTGCATGCTTTTTTATGAACAGATTGCCTCATTTTGGTTAAAAACTCTGACACCGATATTTGAGAGCCCTTTAACTTAGTTCTAGCTTTCCACATCTCAGACTTTGTGCGGTGATCTTGAAATTGTACAAGAATTGGCCGTGAATGACCATCCTTAATAACACCAATTCGATGAGAACGTAAAAAGGATAAATTTGTTACATGTGGGATACCCATTTTATTATGTATGATGCACAGTATTTCTTGCTCAATATTAAGTTCAGGAGAATCAGAGATCCCATTAAATAAGAGAATGTTCTGCCTATGCTGCATATCAATACTATCAATTGTCATAGTGCAGGCATGAATCTGTTGCCGAAGAAGAGTGAGTACAGAGCTAACAAGGTCTTTGAATTCGTAAAACTCCTCACGGAGTTGATTAAGAGAGGTATTACTTGGTGTAGAAGCAGCCTTTAATCTGTTTTCAAAATCAGCCATCTTGCGACTCCAGCTTCCTTCAAGTTCTCTCTGCAAGACCTCCACATCAGATACTTTTGCCATTGCTTGCAATATTTCAAGTGATATCAGTGAAGTGCCAGTGAGTGATATAGTTTGCAAAAAGAAGTTACACTGATGGGTGGTATGAGTAAGTCACAAATATTTTTATCTAGCCATGTATTTCAATATGACTTCCAAAGAAAAGGTAATAAAAATGTAATTAGTATGTAAATATAGTCCAAACACTACTTTAAAATAATTTTAATGTAAATAAAATATTAGAGCAAATTAGACAGCTGTTACTTGTTGCACACCTACCCACGAAAAAACTATTATAGGGTATGGTTCTTTAACAAACATTTATTCAGCATAGGTGTTACAGATAGTCCCCTGTGCAGAGAATGAATGAGAAAGGACGATACGGCGGCCCAAATGCTACTGGCATTGTATACAAAGTTCGCCACGTACAGACTAAATAATTCGGCACACCAAGGTTGCTCCCCGAACTTCTACGAGTATAACCACAATATTCCTGACTACATGCAAAATACACGCTGAGGGATGTTGGTGAATGATGGAGTAAAAATAAAAAGGAATAAAAAATAGCCTGTTGTAAACTAAACTAACTAAATAATTATAAAATCATAACCTAACAGTCCAAAGACGGGAAAAAGCAGTTGCAGTCCCCTACAAACAATGAAGTATAAGGAAGTAGATCCATTGCTATTTGGCACCAAACCAACATGCAATGTGAATGTCAGTCACTTTGGTCCATCAATATAAGAATTTGCAAATAACGATTAAATACCACACCATTATCGGATCCTAACATGGCATTGTCACGAGAAAACTAAAAGACAAACAATTATCCATACAAATAAAATTAAAGTGTCTGTTTGTAGTCAAAATAACAGCTTTCTACTAAATGCATATGAAAGTATATATGATACTAATAACAAAAAAGCAATTTTTTAAATTTTTGTCTGTCTGTTTGTTTGTTCCGACTAAACTCCGAAACGGATGGACCGATTCTGACGGGACTTTCACTGGCAGATAGCTGATGTTATAAGGAGTAAATTAGGCTACTTTTATTTTATAAAAAGAAAAAAAACATGCGCGAGTGTCGTGGAACACTCTGTTGGAACGAAGTATTATTAGTAATAAACGTATTATATTATTGATTAACAAATACAAATAAATGGAATTACTAGCGTCTATTAAAATGAAGTCATTTAAAATAAAATAATATTACTTTCATGGCAAAAGTGCTAGGAAAAGTAAGGAAAAGTGCGAGGGAAATGGATATTATTCCATCTCGCTTCCTTATAGCCGCCAAGACCGTCTACGTAAGAAGGGGTCGTGACGGAAAAATCTTACACTTTTTTCGCCTAGCCCCCATCCGCCAAACTCGTACCGACCGTCCAATAAGGAACTTCGTACTTCAAACTTTATAAAGGCCAGTCGCGGGGGACAGCTAGTTATTATGTAATATAAAGGATAGAACAGCACTTAGTTATAAACTCAATCTGATTAGTGAGTGACATTAAATGCTATTATCAAGTAGATGAATTATACAAGAAGAAGCAGTGTTGAACTCTCTATTTGGTTAGGTGAATTTAAGTTAACAGGTTTATATAGATTATAACTGACAACTTTATAAACAAACTTGATTGTTTTTGAAATTTTATTAAATTGCACAATTTCGTATGAGTTCATAATATTTACATGAATATTGTAATGAGCAAATAAAGTTACAAAATACCTAATGAGGTTGTTGGTGAGCAAATTCTCCAGTTTATTCTTGTTGGCTTCAAGATTCATTCGCATACTGAACGCCTCTTTGTTTTCTTGTGTGAGTCGTCGTATGGCGTCGTTCAGTTCGTCCACTTTTCCTTGATCAGCCGTTGACAGTTGCTCCATTAATTCCTATCACAGAGGTTAAAAAAATAATGTAATGGGAAACTTTTGCCGTTAACTTTTTGGATAATTCGACATTCGCAAAGCTCGTAAAACGGTTAAAATTGAAATGTAAATAAAAACTTACACGATAATATGAATATTAACAAAACTAATATTTTACTGGCAACACTGACACATAGTAAAGATTGTCAATTTCAAAACTTGTGTAGCCTACTCCTTTTTAAAAGGCCACCAACGCATCTGCAATTCCCCTGGTGTTGCAGCTGTACATGGGCGGCGGTCACTTACCATCAGGTGAGCCGCAAGCTTGTTTGCCCCCTCTCCTATAAAAAAAATTACGTAAATCTTAACTTTTTGTAAAGTAAAATCTCTCACCAAGTTAATACCTGTCAAGTATCGAAATTTTGTAGTGAAATGGATGGAATACTCTATGCTTTAACATAACAACAAAAAAATCCAATTTCAAAACTTAAATCATATTACGTTATAACGATATACCGTTATTAGCGGGCCTTAGCTATTGGTACTGTGTATATTGTATACAAGTATATACAATTCTTTTTAAATATTTGCCAATTAAAAAAAATCCAATTTCAAAAAATAAATAATATAAGTTATAACGATATACAGTTATTAGCGGGTCTTAGCTATTGGTACTGTGCATGTTGACGGTACGCGCTCGATGAGCTGCCATTTCTAATCCCATTCTTTATCCGTACGGACTGTACAAGAAATCTCTATCAAAAATACCAAAGAAACAACAATAAAAAATATTATAATGGCAGGTTTACTACTTTATTCAGTGTCAAGTGAGTTATTTTGAAGAAGACGCGCTCATTTGAATATATTTAAAAAATACCTGATGTAATTCAGACTCGAGCCCTTCTTTCGTAGCCTGCATGGCCTCGAGGCTCGAGCGACACTGCGCTAGTGACCTCTCTTTGGGTCCACGGAATCTTTCTATTGACGCCAGTTCTTCTTTCATAAGACGGATGTCTGCCTTTACTTTGTCAAAGATGTCCCTGAGAAATGGTAACAATTAGGTCATGAAATCAAAACAGATAAAAATATACGACTGAGATTTTTAATAGTTAAATCTTCACTACAAACTAAATAAATGCTATCGAATTGAACTTTAAGGCTTTTCTCTTGCATTGGGTTATTTTTATGACACATTATAAATAGGTTTTATTCTTATGTCATTCTAGAGTTGGAGATGAACCTCACACACATTCGTTACACAGGCGGATAGACGATCGCAACATGAGATGTCTCTCCTTTTGACACTACTCCTCATCATCATTTTGGATATTTCACATCTGGCATATATATACCGTCATCCTTCATAGGCCGCATGATCTTCAGGGCATTTTACTAAGTCGCATTTAATAGCACCAAGGAGATAAGTTTGACAATACAAATAAAACTATAAAACTTGTAGAAATGGAGGGTCATTTAAAAAAAAAATATGATAATAAAGAATATATAAATAAAATAAAGCAGGTCGAAGCACAGAAGTGAGCGTGATAAGCATATTGATGAAGATACTTAGTACTATCCCTAGTAAGTACACCTTTATTAAAACAAAAATTAATAATTATATAAACTAACTTGGCTTTCCCCTGTTTAGTTTCCGTGCGCTGCATTTCAGAGACAATGCTATTGATACTTGTTTCAGTCTTGCTCAACTCCTGGCGCAATGTGTTCAGTTCTTGCTCTAATGTCGTGATTTGCTCCATTAGTTCCGAACGAGTCTTCTGCATTTCGAGCCGGGATCGTGATTGGTTGAAATAACCTCCAGTTAGAGAGCCTTTTGATGATACCTAATGATTTTAAGATTAATCAAGATTAACATTTGTATGAGAACTGTTGTAGCTTGAGGCTAAACCGTTACAGTAAATTTAAAGTAAGCGGTTCATTTTTGCTGTAAGCAAGCAACCTTGGTTCATATCTGCCGGCACAAATGTGTTAATTTCAATTTTAAGTGCTGATTTACCAAATGCCCGGTAGTGAAAAAATACATTGTGAGAAACCGCCATGTCTAATAAATAAATAAAAAATCGTAGATTTATTATTTATTATGTGAAGGCCGCCAACACGTATTGAGGAAGCGCGGTAGACATTTATTTGCCTTAAATCTAAGATACTAAACTTTTGTTGCAATTTTATTATCGCGACAAGGTGTCTCACTGTCGTTTTCTCACCAACAACACCTAAACAATGGCAAAGGTCATGGATGCTACAAAGCATAAATAAATTAAACGAGATAAAATATTAATATTTAATAAATGATATATATAATATAATAATACTAACCTGATCACCTTCCAATGTGACGCAGTCTAGATGAAATTGCTTGCCCAACTCTGTGGCGCATTCGAGATTCCTGCAGATGAGCGTTTTGCCAAAGATGTACTTCATCGCCTTTGCGTACTTTGGATCGTATTTTAGCTTTTGTACCATAGCGATTGCATTCTGAAAAAAAAAAAAGAGAACATTAATTTCTTCTAATATTTTAACTGTCATTTACTATTACAGACTTAAACAGATGCACTGTAATCGCTAAGGGCCAAGACAAAAACAGTCTCATGGCCTTTCCTTCAAATGGAAACTTGCTAAATCTGCAAGAGGGTGGTACCTATACAGACGGACGGAAAGGAAGCTCCAGTATACCTACCTGTATATAGATATTGGTGCTATATCAATTTCCTTTGTAACGGATGTAAAACACTCTTATCGGAGACAAATTGCCTGATTACAAAATCGTCCACCAAGGTGGGTGAATACAACGAATCGATAGATTAATAATGAACTAATGGTAATGATGTTAAAATATAAATATTCTTAATAAAACTAAGAACTTACATTATCATTGGGATATACCATATCCCGCACTTGTAAACGATTAAGGGGCATGAAAGTCACTTCGCCCGGTAGACTCTGCCGATTCATCTCTTTCAGAATTTTCGTGCCCACAGTATCCGATTCTACAATGTGGTGGAACAACCTGTTGCCAGCAGTCACCTTGAAAATCAAATTGACTTTAACATTGATAAATAGAAAATATAAAAACAGTTGATTTTTTCGGGCTGGTGAAGAAGTACCTTAAAGGGAATAAGATAAATTCTCGCGACAGAGCTTAACTTTTCAATAGTCACAATTAAAACTTTTTTTAGTTACCGATATTAAAAGAACTGTGGTAGCTCAGAGTCTAAGGACACTCTATTAATTTCACAGTACGCGAGCAACCCGGGTTTGATCCCCGCCGGCTCCAATGAAATTGTTAATTGCAGCGCGACGAACATTTTCTTTTCTTGCCCTAAAATTAATCTAATAAAAAAAATAATCAACAATTCAAATTATTTTTGTTTTAATTGTATTTTTGTTTTAATTGTATTTTTGTAGTAGTTTGTTTAGAATCTACATTATCGTTGTATATTTCTTTTATTTTGTATTTACTATAAAATCAAAGGGTGAAATAATACTTCATTAGGTATAACAACCTGCTCAATTCAATAAGCTGCTCTTTAGATTTTTGTTTTGCTAAAAACTTTTGTAGTTATGAGTGCTTTGAAATTAGGAAATATTTTTTCACCTTCCTGGTTATTATCGCATAGTAAATCGTGTTTTAGATTTGTTGTTATCCCTTCTTTATGAACAGTTTCTTATGTTTTATGTACGTACTAATGTAACATTTTTGTTATAATTGGTTATGTTGCAAATCAAAATCATCTGTTTTGAGTGAATAGGGATGTATCAGGCGTATTACTTCAAATACATGTTTTGATCAATAATTTCAATAGTGTAAGGTAATAAAATAAAACTGCGTTTATCTGCGTTGATCTTAGTTTTGACAGAATTTATTTCTCAAAATTATTATTGAATTAAATAGTTTACGTCACCAAATATAACTTTTATTTTTATAAAATAATCGTAAAATACTGGTATTCAGCAGAATCCGGTTAGATTGGGAGCCGACCCCAATATAGTTGGGGAAAAGGCTAGGCAGATGATGACTCGTACGTATATATCGTAGCAGATGGCGTTCTGCAGTCCTGCCTACACACAGAAAGAAGAAAAACATTTTTTTCCATTTAGTGTTCAATCTTCGTAAACGTAGGGACTAGTAATTCACCCACGTCTGTGTGCGTAAACGACACTATATTCAATTACATATGTTATTTTAGGGCTTTGTGTCGAATTGTGTGGATTTTGAGGCAATGATATGACCTAGTAAAATAATGTATGATGTCCGAGTACCGCGGTGGCTACTTCTACGACTTAATAATGTTCCAATTACACAAAAACCACAATAAAATAAAAACGATGACTTTAGCGCCATCTCGCGGGAATATGGTCGAGTACAGACCGTATGTTTCGCCTTATGAAACATCTGTGATTTCAGATATTATATAAGTAAATCTGTTATTAACATTTTCTGTGATTTCTGTAGATAACTCCACAAAATTTTATAAACAATATGTAAATGTGACTTATGTTGATTACAATTGTTTAATTTTGATGGTTTGTTTTATTTTGTTTTAAAAGCACTTCAAGATCTTAGAACTTGCTTATGCCAGCCTTAGTGGGGAAAAGTGGACAAGGTTTATTATAACAGTGTAATTTGTCCCACCAAGAAATGATTAGTGGGGAAAAGTAGACGAATACATTTTAAAGAGTCTACTTTGTCCCACCAGTTGGTGGAAAAAAGTGGAATAAAACCTTTTTCGGTGGTTAAAAACATATATATTTCGAAGACATGTGAAGTTCACCAACACGCATTGGTGCAGCGCGGCGGACACTTCGTTGCCCTAAAACCCTCTCAAAAATGAGAGGATGTTTGTGCCTAGCAGTGGGGACATATAAGGGCTGTAACTTTTAACTTATTTTACCTTTAATATAAAAAAAAATTATTATTAAGAAAAATATTAAATTATCTAATAAGCCTTTTTAGTCTTCCGTCAGGTGATTATTTAATTGTAATCTCTGTATGTGTACAAATGTAATGTTGTAGTCAATAAATTAATAAATAAAATAATTTTTCTCTCACTCGCACATTGTCTGTGTCAATATTCACGCACGTGCGGACTGTATACAAAACACACACAGTTTTGAGTAGCCTTTACGCTGTGTCCAAGTGCTAAGTTATTAAAAAAAATGTTAAATTCCTTGTCTCCTGTTAGTTTACTACACTCAATGCGTAACTTGAGCATGCTATAAAAACAAAAACATTAATGTTTTTTTTGTTGACTGTACTTTCTGTCAACCGAAGTACAAGCCGCCATTTCAGATTGATATCGTTAATAATGTGGTTTTACAGGATAATTTTCATTCAAAAGCAAACTTTCTTACCTCCACAGCGGTATAAATAGTTTTGTCACACGTGAAGTTTTCAATGACAGGCCCGTAGTACTGTGTCGCTATTTTCGCCCACTCGCCTCCTCTCTCTTGGAATGTCTCTAACACTTTCCGAACACTGTCCCGACCGTTTAATATTGGCTGTAACATTTTATAAGTGGTGAGACTAAAACTCGGTACCGATATAGCATTTGGGTTGAGATATTGCGAATTCGATTAACAGCCTCAACTATTTTAACCAACATTTGGCTCGATTCGCCTCTAGAATCAGAGGTGTTTCGATAGCCTATACCATACTTTTCCAAATATATCAGTTTAGTCTTCGCGATATCTGTGCAAGAGTGCAATGGATTCCATTTCCATCACACATTGGTCTATTGGGTAATGAGGAGGCATTTAAATTAGCGAATTCTGCTTGTGTAAATGGTGTAGAGTATAATATTAACCCTTGTTACTCAGAAGTACTGCCGAAATTCAAAAATTCATGTTATATCGAATGGAAAGAATTTTTCAATGAACGCTCTAAAACGAAAGGTATTTGGTAAACAATACAGAGTGAACCGCCCCGAATACCTTAGTTTATAGATACGAAATTATTGAATTGAAATTGAAAAGAATTGATTCACCTAATTGCGAAACTTGTGGAGTAATAGAAGACTTACATCATTTTAAATGGAATGTGAGCGGAACCGAGGGGCAAAGAAACTATTTATAAAGACAAAAAATGTAAATGTATTTTATGGTATACATTATGAGTATTGCGCAAGACATGCCCCCACCTCGGATATTGCATTGAGTATGTGCAGATTAATAGTAAATATATAGATTTTAAGTTAGTCATAATGCGACTGACATGTTATCAAACAAAACTCCCTAAATAAATAAAGAGAAAAAAAAACGATTTAAAAAAAGCTACAGTCTAAGCAGAGTAAACAAGAGTAAGGAATTTTTATACAAGCATCTTGCAATGAATGCACACAAACGCGAATTCACCTACAGTAGCAGAGAAAATAACGCGTTATTTAGTACTATCGAAGCGGGCACGCTTCTGCACTCACAGAAAAGAAAAAGTTATAGAAGTGGAGTTCCGCGGATATTGAGCTACAAGTACATTTAACAATGTTTTGTAGCAAGCAAATAAAATCTTATTAAAATATATAAAACGTCATTTGGAACCATTTCGTAAGGTAACAACAGCCGTACATAAAATTTATAAAAAAATTAAGTACTAAATGACAAAAAAGCAAACTGTTTTATTTAAAAAAAATATTACAATAATTAGCAAATAAAAAATAAAGCCAAAAACGAATAAAAAAAATTGTTTTCTAAAAATGAAAAGAAATCATGTTTACTTACTTTCCCAGCCATAGAACGGAGTGCTTGATCCGCTTTCGCCAAGTCATCTTTTAGTGATGTCAAATTTTGTGTGAGTGTAGTTTCTTTTCGCCAAAGTTCACTATAATAATAAAAAACCAATAAATAGCACGGTTTTCTTTTATTAATCAATGAGTAGTGAAAATATAAGAGATGCAGGGAAACCTAAGCCAATCAGTATATTTTTGTAGTATAAAACTGTGAATATATAAAAATTTTGTAATGTAATTTTTTCGTAAAACTTAACCACATACAAATTTTCCAGTAAAAAAGGTCTCCGGCAACACAGCACATTGAGCTCCTATTTTACCTTCCTTGGCCGAGCCGTTCCATTACAACCACAACAATATAGCTACAGGATGGCTCTAACATTTAATAGAGTATTTGACTATAGTGAGGGATGAAACTATATTTACTTTCGAGCGCTCTGTTCTTGGTCCTTCCTCTTCTTGCACTCATAATACTGTTTGTTGTGCTCGTCAATAGCAACACGCTGCCTTTCCATTTCCTTCGTCATCTCTTCTATCTTCTTTTGTAGTTCGGTCAATTTCGACGCATCGCGACGTAAATCTTCCTTCAACTTGTTCTCATGGTCCTTTTTATCTTTGATCTGTTTATTTAATGACCTGAAGAAAAAAATATGTTTTACATTGCATTAGATGAGTGCCCATCAATAAAACTGATTGAAGAATTTTGAAGGTTTGTGTTATTAATACTTATAATTAGATATAAAATGTAATTTATACAACACTAATATTTTAAATACTTTTTACATAATAAAAATGCTTTCAAGTATATTGAAATTCCCACATTGTACCTTTTTGGTTTAAGAGGAGTTTATGGCAAGTTTAAGTGTACGCCGTGCTGCCCCAAATGTATTAGCGCTCTTCACATATCTTCGAAATATTTTATTTTATTTCTCAGACATGAAAGTTTGCCTACAATGTTTTTTTTTTCACCAATTCATTCATCAGTGCTGGTGGGGATCTAATTAAGAAATTGACTGCAATTGCTGAGCCCCAAAGCTAACACGCCTATTTATTATTTATCTAAAATGAAGTATTACACTAAATTACATACTTCAATTCCTTTTCAATCCAACGATCCCTGTCTTGCTTAGAAGTGAACTGTGTGCCTCTCCCTTGCTTCGCATACAACTCTTGTCTCTTCTGTTGGTTCAGTGCTAGGGCTCTAGTGCATTCTTCTTCTCGTGCTTTCATCTCCTCATACTTTGGCTTTAGCTCTTCCAGCTCTCGCTCTTTTTCTGCTATCTGTTGTCTCAGGCGTTCCAACTCTGCTTCTGCCCTTTCCTATGTAAATGACTTTAATGTTAATATTTTTTTGGTATAGTATGTATTAATAGTTAGGCAGACTGATACAAGTATCATACAACTGTGTCTAAGTTTTTTAATGGTTAGTATTTTAAAAATAATATGATATTCAACTATGTTTGTATTCAAATAGGTTTTATAGAATGAACATTAATTGCTTATCATATTCATTATTTTGCTTTGTTTTGGTGAAATTATGAGATTAATAACTAAAACTTTAATTTCTTTATTTCTTTAATGACTACTTACTTTAATTTCTTTAATGGAAGAGTTTAGAGATAAATTATACCTTTTTAAAGAACATATTCTATTATTTAATTTAATTATACATACCTTGGCGGTAAAGTGGGAAATTTTGAGATGGCTATAAACTGAGCTATAACTATAACTTGAGCAAAAAAATCGATAAATGATAAAAAATGTACATATTTCGTAGCAGATTGCGAGGGAACTGTTAGTGATATTGCTTTTATATGTATAAGAGATTGATAGCAAATATATCAGGGATCATTTCGTACCTACAGACTTTTTATGTATAAAACTGGAAAAAACGGCGCTTCGGGACTCTCACTCGGGCGTGACGCTCACCCGGAAGGGGGAGCAAGAGTCGATAAAATTTAACTTCTGTCTAGAACATACATATGCCGATAGATAAAAGTACTCCATTAATTTTAACAATTTTTCCATACATTGCTATTTAAAATGCTTGACCTAGGTGTCATGACATGTCGCGCGGCTCAGACACGTTATATACGCGGGTGAAACCGCGGGGCAAAACTATTGATAATATAAGATTGTTAACTAAACGTGCAAAATATCGGCCAGGAGTAAATATTTGGGCTGACCTTGGATTTATTATCGCCATCGACATCATCCGTGAGATCTTTAATGCCGAGCTCCAGTTTGGTCTTCTCCCTCAGCAGTTGCTGCTGCTCTGTGGAGAGTATATCTTTCTCCTCGCGGGCCGCAGCTACGTCCTTGCGAGCTTCTTTTAATTTTCTATAACAATTATAGGTTATTTTTTAAACCTAGCAACCAGAGTTCGAATCCGAAATTTGACTAGATATACACTACAAGCTTTCTAAGAGTAAAAGTCGAGAGATGCTCGATCGTAAAATCACGTTACCGAGTAAAAAGTCTACTGTAATAGATAGTTTAGTTGGACTGCAATAACCCGCTACTCGCTATTGTATGAATAGATAATTTCAATAACTATTTACGTTTTGTAACGAACACTCCTACTTGCGTGTCCCGCGGGACGTTGCAGAGGTAAGACGTGCGTCAAATTTTTGCGCGCGCACTTTTCTGCAACGTAAATAATATATAGGAAATAAAATAAAATGTAAATAACCAGTTTTATGAAACTTATATAGACTAGTCAAGCTTTTGTGTGTGTATTTCTCATTGTGTAAATATTTGTTTATAATTTTAATACAATATTTTTGTGATTATTTTGTAAAAATCACGATCATATGCGCGGTCCGACTCGTTCTCTGCGACGACCGCTTGTATGTATGTATTTTTGCGATGACCTAATGCACTTGGAACACCCAGCCTTAATAAACATTTGAAATTGTATCAATTTTATTTTAAGGTTAAAATAAATTCAACATGGCATTTAGGCATTATGGCATTTAAACAAAATTAAAGACACTGAGGTCTCCTCAGGAAGAAGCTCCAGAGGTTTTACTGATCCTTTTCAGAGGTGTTGTTTTTACAAATCTGTGTGGATTTTGTGATATTATCTTAATATTACCAATGCATTAACTTCAGAAAGTGAGTTAAACATTTCATACCTGTTGGCTTCTCTGACATGGTCCTGGGCTTCTCGCACTAAATCTGCGTAATGTTGCTGCTCTTTGCCACTATTTGAACGCATTTTTTCTAACTATAAATAACAAAAAAAAACAATAAGTACAATGTGATTTTATCAGCGTTGTTTTATTATAAACTAGCGACCCGCCCCGGCTATCAAAATTCGCAAGCAGACTTAGTTCTGCAGCACATGCTGTAAAAAAGACTAGATATCTTACCAGTGTGGAAACAGCTAGACTTGTTTACTTTAGCTATTTCCATAGCATAATGTCGTATGGTATTTTGCTATGGGGACACGCGACTGATACTAAAATTATATTTGTTTTACAGAAGAGGGCCATAAGAGCAATGTATAATTTAAAACCTAGAGTCGTTCTGCCATAAATTTAAGGAAATTAATATAATATTAACTTTGACCTCTCAATACATTTATGAAAATGTAATGTACGTACACAAAAATAAAGGTACCTAGATATACAAAAATAAGTGATATTCATTCTGTAAATACTAGGAACAGACACAAGCTAGTAGTACCAGTTACTCGACTCCACCGAGTCAGTGATTCATTCCTGGAGCGATGTATACGCTTTTACAACAAAATCCCAGAAAATATACAAAATTTGACCTGCTCAAAGTTCAAAAACTTTATTAAACAAAGTTTGTATAAAAAGGGTTAATATAATATTAAGGAATTTATGGATGCTAATAAACTCTGGGAATGAGGTGATCGCTACCAAGCTATTTCTAATTTGTTTTGTGTGGTTAATTGTGTAACATACATGATTGTAAGCTGTTATTTAAAAAAAGTCCCGCCGGGTTTCTTGCTAGTTCTTCCCAAGACAGGTTTTTATCGAACCATACATACATAAACATAAACACTCACGCCTGTCACCCAGAGGGGTAGGCAGAGACTACGGACTTCCATTTGGCGCGATCCTGACACACCTCTCTCGCCTCTTTTACATACATATATCTACGCATACACGCTCGTCGGTTAAGGGTACTCCTAATCTGGCCCATTTTTAATGTATCGCCGATTTGGTCGATAAACCTTCGTCTAGGGCGTCCCTTCCCGACCCTGCCGTTCGCTTCTGCAACATAAATTTGCTTTGTCACTCTTTCCTCGTTCATTCTTTCTACATGACCTAACCACCGAAGCATTCCTTTCTTAATCCTTGTCACAACGTCATCTTGCAAACCACACTTTTCTCTTATCACATTATTTCTCACCCTGTCATTCAGATTCAGCCCTAGCATACTCCTTAAGGAACGCATTTCTACAGCATTTATTCTACTCTCATGCTTCTTCTGCCAGACCCAACTTTCACTACCATACATTAAAGTAGGGACTAACACAGCATTATGAATTGCCATACGTGCCTTAGTTGACACATTCTGACTCCTCATAATAGCGTGTAGAGCCCCATTCACTCTATTTCCTGCGTTCACTCGTCGTTTTATATCCTTATCATATCTACCATCCCTGCTAAATAAACATCCCAAATATACAAACTCATCCACTTGCTCAATCAACTCCCCTTCTATTCTTATTTCACTTTCGTCTTACTTGCGTTCACTTTCATACCCCTTTCTTTCAATGACCAATTCATTAAAGTAACCATCATTTGCAACTCGGCCGCCGACGATGCAAATATGACTTGATCATCGGCGTACAAAAGGCATTTGACGGTTGACTCACCCATTCTCAACCCACATTCTTCAACTTTCAAAGTTTGCAAACAACTGTCCATAAATAGGTTAATCAGCCACGGGGAAGCCACACATCCCTGTCTGACACCTTTATGAATGCCAAACCAGTCCGAGTAGACCCCGTTGATCCTGACACAAGCACTAGAGTTCCTATAAAGAGACCTTAATGCCTGTATCAAGCCAGCGCTCAACCCAAATGAGTTCAGTGTTTGCCATAACACATTCCTGTCCACTCTGTCATAAGCCTTATCCAAGTCCATGAACGCACAAAAAACTTTCTGGTTTTTAGCCAAAAACTTCTCCACTATCATGCGCATGGAAAAGACTTGATCCGTACACCCCATCCCCTTTCTAAATCCAGCTTGCACATCCCAAATTTTTCCATCAGTTTCTTCCATAACTCTTTCAATTAACACCTTAGCATACAGTTTACCCACAATGCTAAGCAAGCTGATACCACGGTAGTTTTTACAGTCCTGCTGCGACCCCTTTCCCTTATATATTGGGACTATAACGGCTTTGCACCAGTCTTCCGGTACCCGCTTCAGTTCCCAACAATAATTAAACAAGGTGTACAGCAGGCCTGCAACCACACCCTCACCAGCCCTTAGCATTTCGAGTGATACTCTATCATATCCAGCTGCCTTACCTGCTTTCATGCTTTTCATTGCTTTCATTATTTCATCTACACTTATCTCCCTACCTCTCTCCACTTCTTCCGGAATTTCTATTTCACTTATTTCAGACGACTCTTCACTCTTAAACACGCTTTCAAGGTATTCCTTCCATCTCTTTAAATTCGAAACTTCATCATTCAACATGCAGCCATTCTCGTCTCGTATAGCATTCATTCTAGGCTGTTTTGAATTTCCCCTGGCAGTTCCTACGAGCTTCCAGAACATTTTAATATTTTCCTGGAAGTTATCAGATATCCTTCTATCATTTTTATCTATCCTTTCTTGCTTTTTCCTTTCAACAACTTCTTTTACTCTCTTATTTATACGTCTAAAGTCTGCCTTTTTCCTTTCAATCTCATCATTCATACCGCCAGAATAACCAGCTTTATTTGCTAGTAAATCTAGCCATGCGCTCTTCTTTCATCCGTACCTCATCATCCCACCACAACGTATTACTTTTCCTTTCATTCGTTCTCTTACTTACACCACATACTTCGGTGGCTGCATCCACCAAAACTTTCTTAATATTATTCCATACATTCTTCAATTCTAAATCTTTCATACATAATTCATTCAACCCACTTATCTTTTCCCTCAGTCTGCATTTATACTTCTCTTTCACACCTTCATCTTGTAACCTCTCTATTCTTATACGCTGTAACGCAGTGGTAGACACAGATGTCCGATGCCGCCAACGTCTGAATAGACCATTAATTCGGCATAAGACCAAGTAATGATCCGTCCCTACGTTGGACCCCCGGTAAACCCTTGTATCTACCACTGCGCTCCTCATTCTTTCATCCACAATTATAAAATCTATCATGCTTCTATCATCCCCTCTTTCCCATGTATACATGTGAATCCTCTTATGGCGAAAGAAAGTGTTCGCAACAAAAAGATTCTTTCCACACATACGCTGAGGAGGTCTTCACCATTCTCATTTATTCTTTCATCGTCAAACGTTCCTAATATCCTTTCATAACCAGACCTCTTCACCCCAACCCTTCCATTAAAATCTCCTAACATAATAATATTTTCATTTTCCTTACATTTCATTAACACCAGCCTTACCATGTCCCAAAACAGCTCTCGGATATAAGTGGGCTTAGACATATCTGGGGCGTACACCCCTAGCACAAACAACTTCTTGCTGGGGGATGAGCCGCTCGTGTCCGTAGGCTTCGACCACCTAATCCTAGGCCCACCCTACACGTGTCCCCCGGGTGGTGCTAAACGAGCGACAAAGCCGAAACGACAGACTCGGCTCCTCGCCGTATGGTAGCAGCGTAAAATCTACCACCCCTTAGTTCGCACCACGAGCCAAGAACAAAAAGAAATGGCCCCGAGTTCCCGGCGCCCCTTTAATGGGGCAGGGGTGCGAAGAATCTCCGGGAGAAAAACCGGCGACGAGGTTCGCCACCCGTCACGTCCGGGAGGGCGAAAAGTGGATTGCGGAGGCCCGTCTGGCTACGCTGAATGTATGTGGAGCAATGAATGATAAGATGGATGAAGTATGCGAAGTGATGAATGATAGAGGAATAGATGTGTTATGTGTGAACGAGACGAAACGAAAGGGAAGAGATGTCACTGCACATGGCATGTATACCGCTTACTGGTCTGGAGTAGACGAGACCGAGATGCCAGGGAGTCGGTGTCATCCTTTCAGAAAGAATGGGTCAATGTGTGAAAGAGTATGAATGTGTTAGCCCAAGGCTGCTATGGATACGAATGAAAGTGGGCTTAAAGAAGTTGTTTTTCGAACCAGTGGTAAATAAATAAAAGAATGACTTTCAATAAGTATTATTTATAATCTATCTATAATATAAAAATGAATCGCTGAATGTGTTGCTAAGCGCAAATTACGAGAGCAGCTGAACCGATTTCGTTAATTATTTTTTTATAATATTCCTTGAAGTACGAAGATGGTTCTTACGGAGAGAAAAATTTCAAAAATTGCCTGAAAAAGTCTATAAACAACACTTTTCTATATTCCCATACAAAAGATTCGTAATAATACTTAAAAGCCAATTTGAACTTTAATACCATATCATAAAGTTTAAGTTAATAAGTAAGTGTTAGTGGAGGGGTTCCGGGAAGGCAAAAAATTGACTGACGTTAGTATCGTATAAATATTAATGTCAAAATTTGTGAACGTATTATAATAAGAAATCAGAAATTGTAATTTTCATTGTGATTTTTAGTGACTATTAAAAGAATTTTAAGTGTTTTATAATTTTTATTTTTTGACCTAATGTAATTGTTGACGTATCAACTTTCTTTTTTCTTTTTTTATCTTACTAGCTGACCCGGTGTCCCGAATAGCAGAATAAGTATTAAAAAAAATAAAAAAATAAAGAATCGACTGTTAGGCGGTACGAAGTTCGCCGGGTTAGCTAGTATTGAATAAAAAAGTTTCTGTCTCTGTTTCGGTTTCTACGCAAGGGTGCAATTTAGAAAAATAAGAAGTGCGCTTAGCAAGAAAAATATGAGTAATATGATATATTTTTTATCGTTACTGCCATTTATTAAAGTTTAGTTGCCGCTGCGAGTTCTTTAATCGGTTGCGGGAAACTTAATCTTTGATATCTTTTAAAGTATTCATCGAAATTATACAGGGTTATTTTTCAAAGAGTAGCCAAATTTTAAACTTAAATTCAAATATATAAATAATGATATGCCGTTACTGCAAATACGAGCATAGAGCTTCTACTTTTAATTGAAATTATCCCAAATTGAATGTGATTTAACAATATGCAACAATGTTTTTGCCTACCGATCGACTCTTACGAATGTGTGCGTGCGCAGTAAAATAAATTAAAATAATGCATTACCACGCATTATGAATTTAAAAAATAAAAATGACAGAATGTTTGGGATTTTTTTAATTAATTTTTCTTCACCATTTGCCTATATTACTTATTCTGAACCTCTGCAAATTTGGCCTGTTTTGGCAAAATAACTCGTATATATAATGTAAAAGACAATTATAATCTACATTTAATATCGAAAGTTACTAACATATTTAATACTGCATAAGAGTAAAAAGCGTCAACCGTAGTAGATAAAGATATGCCATCGCTAAGTTTTCTGTAAGATTTTTGAGGAACAACAATTTTCAATGCCAGAGAAATGCCAGAAACATTGCATGCCCTCTAAAAGATGGTGGTTTTACAATTGATATACGGCAGACGTAAAATCACATCACCATCAAATGTGCGAGACGTCCAGCAAGCTTCAAGTCATTGATCAAGTCGAACTTTTATATTTAATACTTTTATTCTACTCAGGAACGCTAATGACACATTGAGCAGTCATAAGCGATAACCATTCCTACTATTTTAAGTCCTCTTATAAAATAAATGCTGTATTATCAAACAAATATTATTTTGTCTGTTCTCTGCGCTTTTACGCATCTGATGCATTGGTAGCATATTATTAATGGATAGTGACATACTTATTCGTATTCAGGATTTGGATGATGATGTTGTATTTGAAGAATCTGGCAGTAAAACAGAAAAAGCTTAAGACTTTTTTAGAATAAGGGTAAATGGATGCTGTGGCCCATAGACATCTAAATCTACCATGATTAAAAATCAAAATATATTTATTATTTATTATCACCCCTGAGGACTAAGATGGAATGCCTCGCTTAGAGTTAAAAGGGGCTTAAGCTCTCAATGCTCACCATACTAAACACAAGCTGCTATTTTACACTGCTATTCTTTTTTTTTACAGGATAGGGTGACAAGCAAGCACACAGTCCACCTGATGTTAAGTGGTTGCTGTGGCTCATAGACATACATTTATCCTCGTTTGCGAATCAAAATGCAGATGCGTTGTCACCCGTGAGGACTAAGATGGAATGCCTCTTTTCCAGTAAAAAGGGTCTCCAGTTATCTACACCCACCATACGAAACACAGCAGTGTTAAACTGCTATTTGACGCTGGTATTCTGTGAGAGCATGGTCCTTCCCCGGTCAAGCCAACCCATTCGTGCTACAACTATACTACTAATATAGCTGCAGCATGGCTCTACCATGCCATGTAGTGGCGGTTTTAGTATATCCACTACCCCATATCATCCCGTGGGTGTCGCAATAGGCGACAGAGGGAAACAAATTAGGAGATGGACAGCAGCATCCTCCTAATAATGACTAAAAATAAAAAACTGCGGTTGCCAACCCGTTTGCCAAGCATGGCAACTATGGCAAATAACCCTATGATGCAATCTATGAGGGAGGCCTATGTTCAGCAGTGGACTTTAATAGATGGTAACAATAATGGTATGGCTCTACTAAGTGTAGTTTTTAAATATACGAATATTTATGCTTGTCGGTAAAAGAAAAAAAACGCGAGGAAAGCTGCATCGTTGCGGCATAAAATATTTAGAGAACATGTGAAGCCCGCCAACACACACTGGAGCAGCGCTGCGCGGACTAATTGTTACGTAACACTCAGAAATATGAGGCCTGTGCCCAGCATTGCAACACATACAGGCTGAAACTTGACTTAAAAGCAATATATATTTACATAATATAAACAATTATATTTACCTCCTCAAGTTTTCTCTTGTTTTCTCTATGCTCAGTATCGTGAATAATGAATTCGAGGACACGCCTCGCCCGATCCCATTTCTGATACTCTTTTAGCTCTTCCTTTTCCTCTTCAAGGGTCTTAAGACGCTCTTCTATTGTTTGTAAAAATTCATTAATTTTTTCTACCTAAAGAGAAATTAACAGTTTTTTTGTTTATAACAATTTCACAAATTATATAAGTATAATAAAGAAAATTCAACAATATGAGTGATTACAAATTCTAAATATAAGCAGCAAGCCAAGTCTATTATAACATGCAAGAAATGCTCACGGATAACTGCTCTTTGGAAGTCAGTTACGTTGCACTTCTACCAACTAGAACCTTACAGTGTTCATCAGGTCTCATTTAGCATCAACAAGATTTTATGCAATGTATGGAAAGCCAATGATGCCTCTCTACCACTGTATTATGATGTATGCTTGTCTCTTAAGCACCTACGATGTTCCGTGGATATATAATGAAAGAACAAGGGCAGAAAAGTAGTTGACAAAAATTATCTCAATCACAGTACTATGTAACAATTCCATTGAAAGTTATGGCAACACTAACTAAAACAAAATGTGACTGGTTTTTTTTACTGGCTTTACGGCTCTGGGTTCTAGCCCTTCTGAGAATATAACTGTATGACACAAAGGCCCTGGAGCCATGCCAGAAATATACATTTATAGTATAGAAATATATAATAGAAATACAATAATCTAAAAACTCTCAATTATGTAGGTAGGTACATTATGTTGAGAATGTATTAAGCTAAAATCAAACAACCACAGGACGCATGACTTTTTCCAAGTGACATAAGACATAACCTAAAAAGGTTCAAATATATTATCTTTTTTTTTTGACGCCTTCTCAGGACAAAATTTTTGACAAAGTTATTAAGGGACTGACGCTTAGCATTTTAAGATATTTTTGATATATAAACGCTACTATTCCTTCTCAACAAATTTTATGTATGAAAGCCTGCCATTGTTCTTTTAGACCCACTTCAATATACTGATCGACTCGGTTTCTTATTAACCGCCGACAAAAAAGAGGGGTGTTATTTGTTTAACATGTGTATCTGTGTGTCTGTCTGTGGCATCGTAGTCCCCAAACGGTTGAATCGATTTAGATTAAGATTTTTTTTTTGTTTGAAAGTTGACTTGATCAATAGTGCTCTTAGCTGTGATTCAAGAAAATATTTTCAGCCGTTTGAAGAATATCAGCTCTTTTTGTTTCAGGGTTTATTAAAATTTTAAATTTAATATTATTAACAGATTTTATTATATGAGGAAACCTCAAGCATATTAGTCTCTGGTCTGCATAGATCTCTGAGTGAAATTTAATTAAATGAAATATCTTTACATCTTAGAAATAAGAAATTAAAATTTGACTTTACTTTGAGCTTCCTCATATGTATATTAGTGAAGAACTACATCTCAATTCTGTAATTTATGGTAAATCAAGCCCAAGCAATCAATCGAGGTCATAAATGTAAAAGGTTTTCAAATTACTTTGCCAACAGTTTCTTTCAAAATTGTTACTGATTCTTCCCTGCGTTCATCGTACACTCGGGTGCCGGCCACCTCGCGTAATAACTTTAATCTATGCAAATCGGGAGCAACCGCCATTTGATTAATCTGTAATGAAATATGAAACAAGTTATTTTATATAAGTTGTAAGAGACGACAGAGGGAAACTGAAACATGCTATGGGCACAACATGCTATCTTGCTGATAATAACGCAATGATGATCAAGATTGCAATCTATGTGAGAGACCTATCTTCAGCAGTGGACTTTTAACAGGATGTAAGCAACCCGCCCTGGCTTTTTCTGGTTAGAATGTAATAATGTGGTACTATTTAGGTTTAAAATAATAAATAACCATCAAGTTATAGTTTTTCGTTTTTTTTTTTTAAATCTCAAATTTTTCGCATTAAATATAACCTTGATCACTACTGGCATTCCTCTGTTCGTGAAGTTTTATTACAATCAGTTCAGCCATTCCTGGACAAATTAATGAAATTATTAGACAAAAATGGGCCAGTTAGCCAGAAAAAATGGCTATTCATGTCTTTATTTGATATTACAGACACACTTAAATTTTATTTATATGTGTATAGATGTGTAGATAACACAGTTGCATTAGAACTTTTCAGTGCTTATTATTTTGGACAGTCAATGCATATGAATCCTATCTATGAGGGCGACACTGAAAGTTTTTAGAACTGGCCACTTGTAAACGATATAATAAAAAAATAAGTTCAAATTTAAAAAATGGAACTCTTTGCCAATATTATTGAGTGTATTTTATTAATTTCTCATTTGTTTACGATTTGGCGGCAAATTGAAAATTGTCCGTGTCACGTCAGAAAATAAAAAAGAAAAAGAAAATATTCGTACAATGATTTTTCATGACTTTCGATGTCATTTAAGTCAACAAGAATGTTATGATAGACTTCGATTGGCCTTTCACGATGAAGCCCCATCTCGTGCCACTGTTTACAACTGGTTTAACGAGTTTAAACGTGGTCGTACTTATCTCACCGATGATCTGCGTGAGGGACAGCCTTCTACGGCGATTACGGAAGATAACATCAGTGTTGTGCGGCGAATGATAGAGACTGACAAGAGAAAGACTTATCAGCAGATTCGGACAAGCTTAGGCATCGGTATGAGTCAAGTGCACAAAATCCTCCATGAACATTTAGCGGTCAGCAAGCTGTGTGCCCGGCGGGTCGTGTTGATTGGTGTCATGAAATGGTTCAAAGGTTTTACGGAGGTGACTCAAATGCTGTGTTCGACATACTTACGGGTGACGAAAGCTGGATTTATTGTTATGACCCTAAAACTAAGAGACACTGCTGTTTGGGTGTTTCCTTCCAAGGAGTTGCCAACTAAAGTGAAGAGAGGTCGAAGAGAGGTCGAAGCGTGGGAAAAAAGATGGTGGCCTCATTCTTCGGAAAGACAGGTCATTACGCAACAATTGTTTTAGAGGATCAAAAAACAGTTACTGCAGAGTGGTACACTAACAATTGTTTGCCACTTGTCTTGGAAAAAGTTCGGGAGAAACAACCTCACAGTAGGATCCTCCTTCACCACGACAACGCCTCGTCGCTCAACCCCAAGCAAACAATCGACTACTTGGCGATGTCAGACGTGGAATTACTGGGTCACCCGCCCTATAGCCCCGACCTCGCACCTTGCTATTGTTATTTATTTCCGAAAATAAAAGAAAAACTTCGAGGAAAACGTTTTACGAACGCCGAGGAAGCAGTGGCTGGGTTTCAAAATGCCATCAAAGAGAACCCTAAGGACGAGAGGGCAAAGTGCTTTTCTCAGTGGTTCCATCGAATGCAGCGATATATTGACATAGATGAACAGTATTTTGAAAATATATAATAAAACTAATAACTTGCTAGTTTGTTCAAGTTTTTGTTTTTCTAAGAACTTTCAGTGTCACCCTCGTAACTGCAGAGAAGTGTAACAGGGTGACATTACATCCCCGAAACTTTTTATAGCTGCATTAGAAGACATTTTCAAGTTACTTTGATGTGCATAAAACATCATTTCCACTGATTGTTGTAAGACTTAAGATATTGTGTGATATTTTGAACTATAAGCGTGAATTAATAAAATATGCCAGTTATTATAAAGTTTCAAACAATACAAGTTATAGCACTCATTAGAAAATGTAGGGTATAATGAGCATAATAATGTCACAAAGGAATAAGATGTTTAAACTATTTATTAATTTTCTATCAGTTATAAATTTTACAAATTTACATTGCAGCAAATATGAAATAGCTATACTTACTTTTCCCTGTTTGACAATGTAATATGGATTGGAGTTTGACAATCCAGCACTTTCCAATAGGTTAAGTACTTCGGAGCGTGGTACAACCTTTTTGTTGAGGAAAAATTGATCTTTCTTGGACCCAATAACACGCCGCAGAAATATTTCATCTTTCTCTATCTGAAAGAATTTATTTATTTAAAAAAGGTCAACCTACAATTGTTACAATTTAACATACTAAATCTAAATGTATAATAAAATCTTATACTAATTGCACAATTAGTTACAGGTAAACACCGCTAAACTATAATCAAAATCTTAATTTACATATTTGGTTAAGATAAAAATTATTAATCATAACATTTTAAAACAAAACAACCAGTGATTTAAATATTATGTGTAATAAGTATACAAAAAAAAATAACTTAATTTGAAATTATATCTAACAAGTACTTGCGAAACTTGTACGAGGAAAGAAAATTTATATCAGACCGGCTACTGACCCCATTATAACCTAGCTACTGGAGTCGTTGCCAAGAACAGTCCTACGAAATGGAAGGCAAGTCAAAAAAATAGTAGCTCGCGGGAGTGTCCTGGGCATCCTAAATTTAAAGTAACTTAACAGTTGGGACAGTCTATTTGACTTCTTAAAATTTAAATATAATTAAATAAATATAAAAATATTAAAATGTTTTAGTCTGTAGGTGTAAGAGTAAGAGAAGCCCCTTCGTCCAATTCCAGAAGAGTACGCCAGGTGCCAAAGAAATCTCTTCTGTATCTTTTCCAGCCGCAAATAATGGGTAGCATAGTGCGGTCGCCATACTACTCTATAATACTCAAGAGTGCTACCAATAAAGGCATTATATAATATTTATTTTGTTTGATAACTGCGAAAAATTTTACGGTTTCTTATAATAAATCCTAATATTGTCGATAATTTCTTGGCGAATGTGGAATAAATGTCAATTTGCGGTCAAACATTACCCCTAAGTCTAAAACAGTATCTACTTCACGTAAAATAATATCATCTATTATATAATGCGAGCTTATAAAGTTATGATTTTGACAAAATTTAATATGGAAACTTTTATTTTCATTTAGGTTCATTGAGTTTTCTTTACACCAGTGTGACAGCCTATTTAAATCCGATTGCAATAGTACTACGTCGGAATCATCAACAATTTTACGAGAAAACTTTAAGTCATTTGCATAAAGATAAGGTTTAGAGTAGATACAACTATCAGTTATATTATTAATGAAGATGCTAAAACGAATGGGCCCAAGATGTGATCCTTGCGACACACCAGATGTTATATCTAGTAAGTATCAGAGTTAAACCCATCCAAGACTGCATAGTAGGAATGGTTACTTAAATAAGACTTAAACCAATCCGAAATCTTTCCTGTGAATCCATAGGAGTTTATTTTTTTTTAGCAAAGTTTAATGTGACACTTTGTCTAACGCCTAGCTAAAATCGGTATAGATAACATCAACTTGATTTCTATTGTCAATAGCGCCTACAAAATCTTCGACAAAAGTTCCAAGATAAGTTAAAGTTGATTTATTTTTCACGAAACTGTGTTAAGAGTCAGTCATAAATAGTCGTAAATGACTTACAAGTTCACGTAGAGGAAAAGCTAAGCTATCAGCACAATTTTGGAGAAATATTTGCGCTAATCCATCGGCACAAGTACCTTTGGTAATATCTAAAGTTTTGAGTTTCTTAACAATAACATTGAGATCAGCGGTTAGACTGGAAAAACATGAACTAACATTATCAATGATTGTAAAACTTTCAAATTCAGAATGGGGTCTTTCTTTTGGATTATCACCATAGACCTTTGAAAAAATTGCAGCAAACAATTCACAAATGCTGTGGCCATTGTTTGTGATAGTAATACCATCTGTCACGGACCTGGGATAGGCACTAGACCCTCCACGTTTTTTTTTTTTTTGATAAATGACCAAAAGTATTTTGAATTTTGCCTAATCGTTTTCTCTATGTTCACAATATAATTATTATAACACTCTATAAGTACACTGCGATAAGTTAGCTATTTATTATTATAGCTAACTTATCACATCTTTGACTTAAAATTTGTAGTTTAATTTAGTCTTTAAAAGGGTTACTGTATTTTTCATACTTAAGCCGAATATTATTTTTTTCCTTTAGTCTTGCAATCAACACTTTATTAAACCATGAGGGGTGACGTTTAAGGCTATTGACATTTTTTAATGACTTCATTTATACTATCATAAAATATTTCTAACATCCTTTTCACGTCAATGCATAGGGAGAAGATTGCATTCCAACTCAAACTAAAAAGATACTTATTTATTGCCTAGTAATCAGCCTTATAAAAATTGTATTTAAGAACACTCATATTAGGTGTAAGTTTTTCAGTTTCATCCAATGCGGTGGATGTTGTGGATCATAAGCAGGAGACACAGTATAGTTATCATTATCTGTAAGAATTTTAACAGTGGTAGAGCCACGCGGCAGCTTTTGCTGTCGCACGGATGGGCCGGCTCGAACCGGGGTGGTACCACGACCTCACAGAAAACCAGCGTGAAGTAGAGGTTTACATCTGCGTTTCGCTTGGTGAGTGCAGGTGGCCGGAGGCCCTCTTTACTGGAAATGAGGCATTCCATCTTAGTCCTCACGGGTGACAACGCATCTACATATTGATTTGTAATAGAGGATAGATGTAGATGTCTATGGGCCACAGCAACCACTTACCATCAGGTGGACTGTGTGCTCGTTTGTCACCCTTATCCTATAAAAAAAAAACTAGATCCAATATTTAATCTCTAGAGTTAGTTATACAGTTAAATTGTTTTAGCTTATTAACAAAAGTAAAATCTATTAATGTTTGACAAAGACTAGTGGCGCAGTAGCTTGAGTTGTGATTAACCTGCGTCAAAGCTATATTACTCATATTAAAGTCGCCAATAATGCACAGATGCCCATCCAAATTGTCAAGAATTGCATTACAGTTATTAACAAAATGTTCTATCATACTACGTTGAATTGGTGGCGGGATATAACGGCGCATACTGCGATCATTTTAACTACTGAAAAAGGCAGGTTTATCACAATCCAAAGATTTTCACATGCACTATTCCATTTATTTATACAGTCAAAAGATAAGCTTTTTTGACCGCTAATTAATAGAATCAGGCGTTACTTTGCGAAAATCCATTATATAAAAGCTTTTAAAAAAGTTACTTCACAAACATCCGCTCTATAAAATAAAATGATGTGTCTTACCTAGTATGAAGAACACCTCCTCTTAACAGTCGGCCACTGAGTCCACATCACCTGAGGATGCCTCGTGTAGAGGCGAAACACGTGTCATATTGTCGTCAGACGTGTCTTTCCCAGTGGAGTGGTGTTGGGAGTAGTGGTGCTGGGATTAGTGGTGACGGGGATAGTGCACACAATTGAGGGATGGCGGAAGGTGCTCTTGATACTAGGTAAGACACATCATTTTATTTTATAGAGCGGATGTTTGCGAAGTAACTTTTTTAAAAGCTTTTTTGACCGCAACCAGAACCCCACCTCCATCCTTGCCACTGTGAAACCCTGATGTTGCTCTATCCCTTCTGAATACTATGTAACAGTTATCAAATAGTTCCTAACTCAAAACACTGCTATTTAACCACGTCTGTGTTAAGACTATTATATCATTGTCACTAGTTGCTAACTTACGATAAAATGTTCGTGTTTTGATCCTAAGACCTCTATATTCTAGTAATAAATTACAAACAAATTAATACCAATAGATGAAATTATATTTTAACTTATGATTAACTAAGAGAAATAAGTGTTAAGGATTATGGGGATAATTAAAGATATAATACTTTGAACATAAAACGTGCTTTTTATTAACCTCAAAACAACAACATGGAGAGCCTATAACATCATATTGAACCTTCCTTCATAACAGACACAGTGTTGCCATTAAAATACAATATTATATAAATCATTGTTAATTAACACCTACCCCCAATGATTTATATTAACAGAACTAACATTACAATAATTTCAAACATTACAATGAATAAGTAAGAACTAACAATACAATGATTTGTATTAATGGAACTAACAAACTAAAAATACACAATGCGAACTAAACTCTATTCCAATCCTAATTTATGTACAAAATAATTATGAGAGGTTTTATTTAATGGTTTCGTAAAAATATCAGCTATTTGTTGCTTTGTAGGTATATACATAACACAAATTTCCTTACATTCTATTTTTTTTTTATGTTAAATAAAGTTGTATTTTATGTCTACATGTTTCATTCTTTTTTGATCAGGATCTTTGAAACCCTTTACTTTTCATAAAATCATAAAATTTATTGTACCAATTTTTTGAAGATATTTTAAGACCGTAAAGTGATTTTTTTAATTTCAAGACATAATTTATATTTATATTTACACCAGGTGGGGGCTTTAAGTATACAACATCATCAATTTTACCATGAAGGAAAGCACCTTTAACATCCATTTGATGAGTTAAATAGTTCCTTTGAACAGCTAATGATAAAAAAAGAACTTGGAGTTTGTAATGTCAAAACGGGAGAATAAATTTCGGTAAAACTACCTTCCTGTTGAAACCCCCTTACAACTAATCTAGCTTTATATACATTACCCGCCTTTTTTGTAAAAATCCATCTACAATCAATTAACTTAGCATCGTTTGATCTTTCTACAACTTCCCAAATCTTGTTATCCTCTAAAGATTTAATTTCTTCATTTACCACTTCATACCACCTATCTTTATCGTCATAAGAATTTTCTAGGACATTACCATTAGAACAAGATAAAAATGATGCCATTAATATATCACCTAAATCTGAATCATCAGTGACAAAATCTTGTAAATATTTTGGTTTAGTTTTCTTTCTTTTCTCTCTAGAATTAACATTATCTGTATCCCTTCCCTCAGGTTGTAATGACTCTAAATTATTATCAGAAGTTAAAATTTTCTCAGTACCATGGGTTTGGGTTTTATCATAAATTAAAGGGGTTTTGGTTTTCTCAGGACTACTACTATCATCCTTCTCCTTCCCATCAGAGATAGGCTCCACATCAATACTAATAGTTTCAGGGGACTCTGAACATGTTTTTTCCCTAAACAATACGTTTCGTTCTATGCGTATCTTCCTTTCATTAGCATCCCATAATCTGTATCCCCTCGGAGCATACCCAATTATTTTCAATTTCACACCACGAGGGTCCAACTTCATTCGGAGTTTTTGGGGAATATGGGCATATGCAGATGACCCAAATATTCTAAAATTAGACACATTAGGACGTCTTCCCTCCCACATTTCAAATGGTGTAACGTTAAGGGAAGCAGTGGAACTACGATTAGTGACATAAGTAAGATTCATTCTTTCAGCTACTCCGTTCATTTCGGGATTATATGCAGCAGTATACTGCAATACTATGCCTTTTTCATCACAAAAGGATTTAAAATTTCTAGAAATATACTCACCACCATTATCTGATTTTAACTTCAATATACCATGACCAAAATGATTACTAGCATAATTATAATACGTCTTAAAATATTCAAAAACCTCAGACTTGTCTCTTAATAAGTAAACTATGGTGAAGTGGGTAAAATCGTCTATGAAAGTAAGAAAGTGTTTATACCCGTCCCACGTAGAAGGGCTAACAGAACAAACATCGGTATGTACTAGTTCTAAGTGTTTTCCATTTACATTTTCCCATTAAAAGGAAGGCGTGTAATCTTAGCAAGTATGAATGGTTTACAATGCCTATTTTCTAAATTTTTTTCTTTCAAATCAGTTAAACCATCAACCATTTTTTTTTACTAAAGTTTTCAAACTACTAAAGCTTAAGTGAGAAAATCGTTTGTGCCAAATTTCTACTGAATTATCATTGGTGTCAGATTTTGCACCATAATAACAATCATTAAATATTACTTTAAATTCTACAAAATAAAGGGACCCTAGTCTATGCCCAACTATAAGCATTTCATTGGTTTGTGAGAAAACTTTAACATCCCCTTTATTGAAGATGATCTTTAAACTATGCTTTTCCATTTTGGAAACAGATAATAATTTTTTTTCTTAATTGTGGTACATAATACACATCATTTAATTATTTAATATAATATCAACTTTAAAATCACTTATTTAACATTTTATTGTTCCTACACCAACAGCCTCTAAATCAACGCCATTTTTGGCAGCTGAAATTTTAATTGGCTTATCCAGTTTACAATAATTAAAGAATAAACTAATGTCATTTACAACATGAAATGAACTATCTGGGTCAACAACCCATTTAAAACTATTTTTATTCTGCTGTTCGGTGTCAGGGTTAAAGGACATAAAACTTACAAATTTGTTACCTTCAGTATTTTCAGTGCATGTAAGAAATGACTTTCCTCTACCTCTCTCCTGGGTCTGATGACGAGTTGCCTTACTGTCGTCTCGGCTTCCGTTGTACTTCCAGTCGCTACGTCCACGGCCGTGAAGTCTCCAGTCGCCAGTCCTGTGTCGTGCCTACTGAGTGCTCCTACACTGGGATTTTTTGTGTCTGGGGCGTCCACATCCATAACACAAGAAAATTGAAGAGTCAAGGGATTTGGTCGCTCCTCTGTTCCGTTTTTCCTCTTCCCCAAGCAGTCTGTTTTTCACGAAGTCCATTTTCAATTCCTCCACAGTTTCCAAAGCCGTGATAATGCCTTCATAAGATTTCGGCATGGATAGGAGTAAATAGTTAACCTTTTCTTCCTCCGAGAGGTCACTGCCAGCATTCCCGAGTTTTTTTTTTTTTTTTTTTTTATAGGAGAGGGGGCAAACGAGCATGCGGCTCACCTGATGGTAAGTGACTACCGCCGCCCATGAACAACCGCAACACCAGGGGAATTGCAGATGCGTTGCCGGCCTTTTAAAAAGGAGTAGGCTCTTTTCTTGAAGGTCCCTAAGTCGTATCGGTCCGGAAAAATCGCTGATGGTAATCGATTCCACAAGGAAGTCGTGCGAGGAAGAAAACATCTTCTAAATCGCACAGTGGTGGACCGCCAATCATCCAGATGGTGTGGATGGTATCGGGAGTTCTGCCGCGATGTGCGTTCATGAAATTTGGCGGCTGGGATTAATCCGAACAATTCCTCAGAGCACTCCCCATGGTAGATGCGAAAGAAAATGCAAAGAGATGCAACATCTCTTCGCATCTCTTGTGCAAATAGCTTTACCATGTCAATAAAATGTTCCATTAAAGGTTTCCGTTCGTCGAATTTCATATCGGACAACTCTCTTCTTATAAATAATTTAGATCGTGTACCTTTCTTCTTAAAGCTGTCTTCCATGCTTTTAATAATTTGATAAGCAGATCTGTCTTTTAAGTTTTCGAGGTGACTGTCGGCGGTTGCCGCTATTATGATAGCCTGGGCCTTAGCTTCCAATTGCAATTGCTTGTTATCCGTAGATTTACTGAAATCCTCCTTTTCGATCGCCTCTATTGCTCCATTATCCCGCAGGATACTTTTTAATCAAAACTCCCATGCGTTGTAATTGTCCCCCGCGAAAGGGACAATTTGATATTTTTCTTTTGACATTTTCTGTTCTTTAACACTTATTAATCCACTATAAAACTGATGGCCGTACTGGGCCTATAACGCTGTTAAGGATTATGAGGATAATTAAATATATAATACTTTGAACATAAAACGTGCTTTTTATTAACCTCAAAACAACAACATGGAGAGCCTATAACATCATATTGAACCTTCCTTCATAACAGACACAGTGATGACAACCGACGCAGTGTTGCCATTAAAATACAATATTATATAAATCATTGTTAATTAACAATAAGTAGCAAATTAATCTAGTTTTGATAATGAATCAAAATTTTTAACGAGAATAAAACCTGAATTTTCACTTTTTCTTAGAAAGATAAGTCCACCGCTCATCCAAACAAACTTAAACCCTTTTTCTTTTGCAGTCTTCCTCGTCGCCGAATTTATTTGCTGCTGACAAGTGCTCTGTCACATATACCGGAGTCTTAAGACCAATAAAACCTAGTTGACTAGAGTTCAACTTATTATCCGGGTTAGCTTTATTAAATTTGATTGTGGCTGCTAAGAAACTATTTCGTTATCTAGTGTTATTAAATTCAACTATTACCGAGCGAGGACGATCACTATTCAGATTGAGTTTGGCAATTCTTGTTATTCGATTTATCTTTTCAATTTTGATGTCACACTTTACTATACTGCAAATGTTGTTGAACACCGTGAAAAATTTTCTGACTTCTTCTCTGGCAAGCATTGAATTTCGACGTTGTTGCTGCAAGCGTTCAGCTCAAGGTTGTTTATGCGTGTCTCAAGATCTTTTATAGTAATCTGCAATTTGGCATTGGTTTCAATCAGGCTCTTAGTATCTTCCAGAGACTTAGCATTTTTATGTTGAATATCTTCAAATTTTCTATTCATATCATCCATTGTATGCTTCATGTCACAAATTTCTTCCCGAAATGTTTAAGTTCAGTATCTAGTAGTTGCACTGGCTCAATCTCTTCTTTTACCGATCCTTGACTACGCTTGACTACTTGAGCGGTTTCAAAATTATTGCATAAGTTTTATATTTGGGTTACGAAAGTATGACCACATATCCGAATTCCGCCATAAGCTCAAGTGGTTACCGATTCACCTTCGCAGGAATACTCACATTCTTCATCTTCTTTACTGCATTCTGTTCAATCCGACCACTCCTTCTTATTTGAAAGACCGATTTATATATTTAAGTAGTTTACACTCTCTACCTCTACGATCTCAAAATAATCTCCTTCTAAGTACTCCTAGACATTCCTCTTCCTTCTATTCTAATTCTTTTACGGTTACCGCTATACGACTATGGAATTCTCTCCCCTTACATATTAAAGAATCTAAATCTCTTCCTATATTTAAAAATAAATTAAAACTTTATTACCTTTCCCCTTAAGTTACTACCTGTCATCATTCACTTTTTCTTTCTTCTTTCTTTATCTTTCTATATTATATTCTGTACACCCCTTCCGCTATCTTTTAAAAATAGTATCCTCTGCCCTAAGGTTGCCTGGAAGAGATCGCTGTTTTAGCGATAAGGCCGCCTGTTGTACCAATGTCCCTTTAAATATATAAATACTGTAATATGTTCCTTGGTGTACAATAAAGTATATTTTACTTTACTTTATCTAGAACGGAACGCACGCTTTTGGTCATCTAAACCATAAGGTCTGACTTTGGATTACAGGGCGTTCGATTTCAGCAGGGAATGACAATACCTGTCTTTTGGAGACTTGTACTGTACTTGTAAATAGGGTCACATATTACTGGTGTGTTATCCTTATTGCCAGTCGCATGGAGAGGTCTAATGCAACATGGACCGATCCCAAAATAGTTGATTCAACAAGGTGCAACTCCTCCCCATTTTAAAGCACACTGGTATTCACTCACAAAGGTTTCCCTCCCCTCCCCTTTCCCACCCCTCCCATCTCAATATTAACCTTTCTGTTACTACACCTGCTATAACAAAAAACGGCTTTGTACGGGGGGGGGGGGCGTGACGTCATCTCCACTCGCAGCACTTATTTCAACATTTATGTTTTTTCACAAATGTTCATGTTATAAGAGGTGTGAGTTACAGTTCTTGAAAGCCCATAAGATCATGAATAAGTGGAAACAATAACAATATGTTTATTTCGTTTTGTACAGCTTTGTTTTAAGGGATTTTGAAAAAGTGTATTTACTTAAAATAAATTTGATTTTATGAATGAAAAAGCATGCTTTTATTTTATTTTTATGTCCTCACAATCTGTATAACATGGTCTTCCTAAAATAAACCAAAATTATGCATATAATCATCATTACATTTCTATATTTTTACTCACAAACATTTGCTAAACACCTCCTTGCCCTAAAACCCTCTCAGAAATGAGAGGAGGCCTGTGCCCAGCAGTGGGACGTAAATAGGCTGCAACTTTACTACCTTAATTTTTCTTCTACAATCATATAGATATAACATTTAGGAATAACATGTCTTTATGAATATACATACATGCAATAAACTATTTTTAAAAAGGCTAAATATCTCAGAAGAGATCTTATTTGAAATCTTGACCATAACAAATTGTTTGTTTAGAGGTTTTCTGTTTTTACTTTTTATCAATTGAAACAAAAATTTACTGTTGTTGGAACTTAGATCACTCAAAATGGCATCAGTTTTATTGTAGGATTAGACATAAACAATGCAAGAATAATTGATTTTCAATAACTTTTTTCTCAAAAATTACACGTTTCCACATATTGTAACTTTGTGTGTGCTTATAATAGTGTAACTTTTCTGTAAAAATACGTATCAACCCCCAACTCGATGGGAGTCAATGTAAAGTCGTACCAAGACAAAAATAGCAGTGTGGTATGGCTGCATGAATATATGCCCTCTGTATACAACGGTCACTTAATAGGTGCATGAATTTATGCCCGCGGTACTAGAAAGGTTAAGGGGTGGTTATTCTAAAATCCTTCCATTTAGGATTAACCTAACAATAATAAGATCACTCTATCAATATGAGTCTCTGAATCTGTTGGTGATAAGAGGGTTCGTTCTTTTCTTGTTCAAAGGCTAACTATAGCCATTTAGCAAGAAAACAGAGAACATTTATTGAGATAATTTAAGTATTTAGTTTTTTTATTGTGGTAATAAATATTGACAATTTAATGTCATGAAAATAAATAATAAATGATATTATCAATCATAAAAATTAGAAATTTAAGTTCCGTTTTAGAGATTGCATGGATTAAAATACATTAAAATAATAAAGCTTACTGGTATTCTGTTGTCAGAGTTATCAAAGATAATTTCAACAAAAGCTGATATCACTCTGGGTCCTGTGCCTTCATGAAGCAGAGCTAACCTTTGTTCAGGTCGTAGATGTGAAAACTCATCACTAAGCACAAACTGAATGGCTGAAAAATAAAAATGTAATGTTTATTTACCCGCTCAAATTGCCATAGATGTTAAATGATGCAAAAATTCTTACGAACACTAACCATGAAAGAAATTACTTTTTCCCGAACCATTACGCCCTACAACTACATTATGCCGTTTATCAAATGGTTCTACAACAATTTGCTCACGATAACTCTTGAATCCCTGAATAATCACCTGTAAACAATAACGTTAGGTTGAATTAAAAAAAAAGTACTCCAAACAGCATTAACATTAGCGCGCAAAACCTACTAATTTACCTGTTTTATATGCATGTTTACAATTGCTACAAATGTTTTATTTTAAAAACTTATTTATAATAAAATCGAAAAATTGACAACATTCACAGAAACGCCCGCCATTTCGGACTAGTTGTGATTTTTGACTTGACATTTGTCAGTGTTGCCAACAGTTGAACTTTAGAGATATATATGTTCTGTGGTTGAATTTCTGTCTGCATCAGATTAACATCTGTAAAAAACGCACTAACAAAAACTACCATACTCTCTTAGTTCCTAAGATGTCCACTCAACACGAAAGGAAATAATAGAATTATTAATAATTGGTTACCTTTATTATTACAAACTGTGTAACAAAATATTAAATTGAAATGTGAATAATCAATAAATCAACATACAGTTAGTAAAACAACGAGTAAACATCACGAATATATTATCCAATGAGTTTGTGAAAGGAATACGACACTGAGCTTAGTAAGCTACAATTGAAATATTTTACAAGGAATCCCAACGAATTACCGAATATAGGAATGGATTGTCCGACGTCACGTCATGTCTGATGAATCAAAGCAGACTACATAGTAAAAGTTAATAATATTGAAATAAGGTAGAAATACTGGGTGGCGCTTAGGTTATCACGTTAAATAGCACAGCAGTTAATTCAAGTTGATATATGTCTGTTATATAATAAGAAAATAAACAATAATTTTAAAAAATGCATCTTTTAAACAAAATAAATAGCGTAAAAATTACACAAAATAAGTCATCCGTGATTATATTAGTTTATTGACCTGAAGTGTCCTGTAAAAGCGGCAACGGCGCGGTCGCGATGCAGCTTTCAGTGCTCATGCGACATCGAAATAGGTAATTATAATACCTACACTTGCCCATACACAGGTAATTAGGCAGGCATAAGGCGATGCTAATACGATGTTACAACAAATCACAAATTTCATGGTATTGTTTTTATCCAAATAATCACTTTAATCTTGAAATCACTCAAGTTTAATAATCAAAACAAATCAAATTTCACATACACGTGTGATATTATACTTCTCTCGGTATGTTTGTAATGCCAGGGCCGTGTTTTGGTGGCATTCTACATTAATCAAAATCATGTTGTTGTATTCCGACGATGTGAAATTGATACAAGCCAAATTAAAACTTAAAAAAGTTATATGTTAAAAAAATAAAAGCGTCCAATTGCGCACGGGCTGTCACACCACTAAGTTATTAAATATGATTATCTAGCGTATTATTAACGTGTCCTATCGCAAATAAAAAAATACAATACAGTAAAAGAAAGTGTCCGATTTCGCACAAACTGTCACTCCACCTTCTTATCACAATTATTATTATCGTATTAACGTGTCCTATCACAAAAAAATTTAGAAACTCATCAAAACGTCCACAAAACCAAAAAAACAACAACAATTAAAACTCAAATGACGTTTATGCGAAAAACCAAAATTAGGTCAAGCGACTCATGAACCATCCCCAAGGACGCCTGCGTCAGACTAGGTGCTTACTTTCTTACTTATCGTCGCACGCGGTAGAGAAATATGAATTTCGACAACACGCACCCTCCCGACACCCCGTCCCATTTCTCGTCACTTCACGCGTAGAGAATTATGTCTTAAATCATTTATTTTAAGTAAATTTTTCGCATGTGTTTGTTTTCACACACCCACAGCGCGCGGTCCCTTTGTTTTTAATTTTGCGCATAAGTAGTATGCCTTAAATTGTTAGCCGTAAATACATTTTTTGTTTGATTTTTTACTTTTTTAAATAATTCGGATTGGCTACGTTTGAACTAGGTATCTTCGTCTTCCCGGGCCGTGGGTCTTCGACCTTCTAGTATTCATCGGGTGATATCCGTATGCTTTTACATGCTGTTGTTTAATATTAACACGAAAAATTCTACCGCGACTAGAATGTTAATTGTTATATTTTTTTTATAATTGTGTATGCTTAAGGTGAAAGCTCCAGGGTGGCCCGCGAAATTCAAATTTTCTTACTGCCCTGGCGCTTCCACCTTAACAAATAGAAATAAATGATTTACTAGCGTCTATTAAAATGAAGCGTCATTTAAAATAATATTTCTTTCATGGCACGACAAGAAAAAGTGCGGGGGAGATGGATATTATTCCATCTCACTAACACTATAGAAAGGGATCCTGACGGAAATTTTTTACACTTTTCCATGAAATTCGTATTGTGCGATAAGGAACTTCTTTCCAATAAGGTGTACCGATCAAACTAACTTCCCAGCTATAAAATTTGTAGAAATTTACACGCACATTTATTTGAGTGGCGCCGCCCTGTTGGCAGAAAAAGTCGTGGATGTCCTCATTGTGCTACAACCTATAACCATAATATAGTTAAAAGGCAGCAGAGGTCAGCAACCTGCCATGTGATTGAAAACTCTAACCAAGGATTCGAAACGAGTCCAGTAGAACAGTATCAACTAAAGATAGGGTTAGGGTGTCCAATAATAATAGACGAATAGTGCTGACTGACTTAGATTGATGCAACAAAGACCAAGACAAAGAAGAGAAAAAAAGTAAGAGTTGACTGAAAAATATTAAATTTATAATTTCTTGTTGCGAATTTTACATGACTTGAGCTATAAACTAGGAATAATAACGAATATTTTAAGGTAATTAAAAACTGCACTATTTATTTGAAGCACAATTTTTTACCATATAATTAGGTAAATAAAAAAGCAAAGAGATGCAACGTCTTTTCGCAGAAATAACTCGGTTGTCGATGATTCGGGCTGGTCTTCGCTGGATGCATTCACGTTAAATAAGCAGGCACAAGGATTCCCAGACCAGAAGTGAGAATAGTATTCCATGTAAGGCCGAACTTCTACTTCAATATTTTTACGTGTTGCTTTAAAAGTTAAAGTTACAGCCTATATACATGTCTCACTGCTGGGCACAGGCCTCCTCTCATTTCGGAGAGGGTTTTTAGAGCAAGGAAAGGTCCGCCGCGATGCCCCAATGCATGTTGGCGAACTTCACATGTCTTCGAAATATATATATTATTTTCTTATTTGTCAGACATGCTGGTTTCCTCACGATGTTTTCCTTCACCGCCGAACACGTGGTAAATCAGCACTTAAAATTGCAATTAACAATTTCATTGGTGCCAGCGGGGATCGAACCCAGGTTTCTCACGTACTGTGAAACTTACAGCAAGCGCTAACCATCTGAGCTACCACGGTTCTCGTGTGGTGCTCACGTGGTGCTCGTGCTCACGTGTTGCTTTATTGAAAAACAATTAGTTTTATTTACCTGTTTATTTTTTACGTTTGTACCGTGTCACATTACTTATTTTATAGATGCGAGTTCTACGAAGTTGTAACTAGCAATGGTTTCGAATCGTTAGTACAGTTATCGCGGGTGCAGTATGAAAATCATTTGAGTACTGTTTATTCCAATTAGTCAATTCTCATAGTAGGAGCTGCTCGAATGTCTATCATTTTAAACGTCGTTCACAAATCATTTTGGTGGTGAACATAACAGAATAAAATATGACAGTTTTAAGTTCATTCAATAGCGTACAAAGAGATATGTTTAAAGATTTTGATAAATTTGGAAGATTCCAGATATTTGAATACTTTTTGATACGCCTTCAAATTATTATGGTATCGATGGTTCATGTTAATTCCTTAATAAAAAAAGTCCCGCTTGGTTTCTTGCTGGTTCTTCCCAGGACAGAGGTATTTTCCGAACCAGTGGTAAATAAAATAATGACTTTCAATAAGTATTATGCAATAATCCATATTGAATAAAAATCATTCTATTCTATCCTTATATTTTTGTAGCCGAAGACGTAACCCACAGGTTAAAATTTAATATATTTTTCACAATTATATTTTAATCGCATTCCATTACAAAGGTGGTGATTTATATTTGCCCATGCTTATAAGTACATTTTTAATTATTAACGCAATATAATTACTTCAATTAATCATTTATGTATCATCATCATCATCTTTATCATTATCATTACAGCCTTTTATTAGTCCACTGCTGAACATAGGCCTCCCCCGAGTAATGCCACAAACCACGATCCTGATCCACCTGCATCCATCGACTTCCTGCATGTCTTACGAGGTCGTAATTACGTCTAGTGGGGGTCACCCTACACTTGGCCTACCTACCGGTACGAAGCTGCCACTCCAGAAAGAAGCTTTTTGTTCACCACCATTTATATATACATATAAAATTTAATATATAATAATAATAATAAATTAATATAATTATTATAATAAGGATTAACTGGTCACAGTGACAGTGACGGTGTAATTAAAAATATCCAATACCCTATATCATCCTGTGAGTACGTTGTAAAACACGACAGAGGGAAACAAATCAAGAGATCGGCAGCAGCATTTTTCTGATAACTAATAAAAAAACGGCGGGTTGGCAACAAAGCGTGGCAAGTATGACAATAACCCAGGCATTCTCTGGCATTATATTCATTTTTGAGGCAATCCAAGTAAAAAGTACACTTACAGACACGGTCAATTGCTTTGACCAAAATATTTTTATATTAGTAGATTATTATTATTATTTAATATGCTTGTTTACAATAAACTGAGACTGCAGTCTTTAAAATTGAAATTTTTCTAGTGAAGTTAATTTTATTAGTAAGTTCCACTGCTGAACATAATATGCCCATAGATTGCCTCCGTCCCCCTCATAATTGCCTGGGGATATTTGGCCATTGTTGCCACGCTTGGCGGGTACGTTGGCAAGTGCAGTTTTTTTATTTTTTTTAGTTGTTATTACGAAGACACCTTTTGATTCGTTTCCCTCTTGCACCTCTTACGACACCCATGGAGGATATGAGGTAGGTAGTGGATATTATTACATCGCTACTATATTGCTAAATTTAAATGTTTTACTATGTAATTTTGGGCTGTTTAGCTATGATTACGAATTTTTAGTCGTAAGTACACCAAAAGAAGCTTCTTTAAGTCCCCGAATTAGAGATCTATTTATTACAAAATTACTTGCTAGAACTACTTATTAAAAAAGGTATTTGACGAAAACACGCCCATTGTATTATTATATATGACGGTTGTCCAGTACACTTTGGTGAACCGTCATGGAGTGCT